TTCACACATGCCCTCCACCTTCTTCAACGTGATTTTTAAACCATCGACAAGGTTCTTGCTTGACATATGAAGAATACGTGGAATCCCGACGTGTCCCAGACGACGATGCCAGGTGTGTATATCGACTGCCCTTTCGTGCGAACGGGCGGAATTCGCTAATGTATCTTGTTTCTCCAGTACTTCCACTTCGTACATCTTTCCACCAGCAGTACCACTAGTGCTTTCACTGCCAGTCCCGGTCAACAGGATATTCCCGTCTCTATCAGCTACATTAATCCTTCGCCCACCCCAATCGCCTCGTAGACCCTTGTGATCCAGTGTCATGAGGGAGATAAGGTTATGACCGAATGACGGCGTGTGCTTTACCCCCGTCAATTTCATGATTTTATCCTTTCCTCCTACCCGTGTCCGGAATTCAACTGTTCCTATGCCTTCGATCCGGAAGCTCAATCCAGCAACGGCGGTCAGACCCGCTTGATTAACCACTGCCTGGTAAACGATGAAATCATCTCTGTCTACCCAGCAGTGTTCCGAAGCGCCGGAATCAATATACGTTCTGACTGGTTTGTGGCAAGGGAAAAGTTTATTGCTGCTAAAAACAGTACAACCATTGAAGGAGATAGGTTTTCGGAATGATACAGGTAAGTCTCTACTCGAACCCTCGTCTCCCTGACTCATTGTCTGATTCAATATGGATCGACTATTTCTGTTTTGTTGAGAGTCAGGGAGTTTTTGGGTGGAGGTAGAATGAGACGTACGTGCTGAAAGGGTGAAAGTTTCAATGGGAGAGGTTGAATTGGCCGTGGTAGGCGGCTCCTGGTTATGCTTCTTGTACCACCAGGCTGGAGCCTTACCCTCACAACCTCCCCCTTTAGCCCAACACTTCTTCAAAGTGTGACCGATTTTGCTAGGGCAAGGAGGGTTGGAACAGATTAAGTGTTCGTGTCGGGTCCCGGTCGTCGCTACGATGGTAGATTGGCTTTGGGCAGGCATAGCGGCCATAATCTCCTTTGCTATCAACGCCCGGACCTTGTTCGATTGTTCAATCTCGTTGCTCTCGGATTTACGTTCGAGATAGACTGTATAGAGGTGGATGAACGCTTCGTCGCTACCTTTACCTGGAATGTTCCTAGTCTTGGGTTTCCAGTCAGTGGGAACAGATGCCAGGATGATAATCCGAAACTGGGCATCTGTAAGTGTACCACCTACGTCGGTAAGCTTCTTCTTCAAATTCTTCATCTTCTTCTCATGGTCCTCCATTGTGCAGGAGTCAGGATCGAATTTCTCTGTCCTCAGGGCATGATCTGCTAGGTAGATTAGCTGTTCATCCTTCCGCTCAAACTTTTCTGTCAAATCCTTCCAGATGTTAGCGGCTGATTTGGCGAGATCAATTCCAAGCCCGGTGGCGTCTACGGTGTTAAGGTTTATAGTAGCTGCGACAAAGCGGTCACGCATGTACCATTCCTCGGGATAAGGGGTTGTGCTATAAGCAGGGGTAGCTGTTACTGGTGGGTAGATACTGCCTGCTGCAGATGAATAGAGGGAGGAGGCTGGTTTGACGATGGTGCTGTCGAGATAGCCAGTGTAGCCCCTAAGTTGAGCTGTGAGTTCAACGGCGGCTTTGAACCTGCTCCAGCTGTCCTTTCCAGTGAGTTTACTCTCTTCCGGAAATATCGGAACGTTGACTTGATTTGTTGACATACTTGGACGATGGAGATTCAGTAGGTTTGTGAGTTACAATGGAGTGTATTCAGGCTCGGGAAGAGCCCAGTCTCATAATCTGTAGAGATATGTAAAGCTCAGTTGAGTAAGGAAGATCAACTGAGGAAATAGCTAATGGAACGAAAATATATATATCCCGATCGTTAGATCGGGATTAGTAAGTCGGAACATAGAAAGATAAACGGAAGTATAGATAGGAAGAGAGATACCAGAATAAGTAATATCAAAGCTAGATGTACGGAGTATTCTCCAACATTTTGCTCGTCGCAAGCCATTCTCCCAATATGGATCAGGCTACCAGGAAATTTCAAACTCACCAAGTCATCGTCCTCGAAAGATCTTTGGATGGTCCGCAATCTCACCAACTTGAAACAGGAGTATGTAATTCCCACCAGACCACAGAGCCTCACACAGGTTGTCTACAGTCTCATAGGATGCTCTAGTGACGCTTCCGTTTCCATGCAAGGTGAAAGGTGTAGTGTGCTTATCAACGGACCCTGGGCAGGAGATAGGATTGACATCACACTTGTGTCAATCCATAGGCAAGAGCATGCACCTGAGGAAGGATCCAGTTGGAAAGACATCACTGTCAGTGTCAAGGAGTTGTTGGAGGCCTTGGCGACAGAAGACGACGATTATGGTGTTTTCAAATTCTAGACACTTGTACATAGTTTTAGCCCGAAATCCTTTATCCTTTGGGAACATTGCTTCTATTTGGAAATTGTGGATGCACAAGATCAAGGTTGAATGAATGATGGGCTGAATGAACTCAGCAGTCTGCTCAAAGGGAATGATAGGTTCTTCTGTGACCACCATCATCTTGTTTTTTCCCACGCTAAACAGCTGAACGCTGGGGAGAAAAAAAGACCTCGATAGTGGGTAACGTAGAGCAGAATTGAAGAAACATTATCACGTACCGAGCGAAAAGAGTGCGAACGAAAGTTCTACCAAAAAAAAGCAAGCATGTCGTCGCCACCAGAGACGGACAAGCAAGACCTCTCCGCATCGATGAATCAAAAACAAGGAGCGCTGTCGACCGAAGGCTTTGACTGCCCTGCGAACGGTGCCTTGCAGACGGAGTGGACTATTGGCGAGGACCGAGGCTCAGAAGACAGGCAGGGTCTTGCTGGAAGTGAGGAGACTGACGATAGGAGGGCTACACCTGGGACGAAGACAGTGGGAGAAGGCTTGGTGAAGGACGGTGGTCACGAACAAGACACAGGCCCGAGTGTTGAAGATAGCAGAAGGGACGGTGAGAGCTTCAACGGGTCCGCGGACACTGCTGGGACTGTGGTGGAGTCGCCGAAAAAGACGAAGAAAAAGGCTGGGGGGCAGGCAGCGCCAAAAGCGAGGGCGAAAACAGTGCGAAAGTCGGAAGTTGGCGGGGAGAAGGGCCCATCGGACGCGAAGCAAAAACCGCGGACACGTGGATCGACTGCCTCTCCGGCAGCCAGGACCCTTGCCTCAACATTGTCAGCAGCAACAATGGACCACGATGAGTCAGGGGACGAACCGTTAGCAACATCTTTGCTTCTCTCTCCTATGTCGGAGGCGCCGGACGTTATTGTGGACTCACTAGGTAATGCGACGATGGAAGCGCGTGTGGAGAAGGAGTACGGTGTCAATTTGGACATGAGTTCTGTCTCAAAGGTTGTCCAGGTGGCAAGCAAACTGAAGAAAACTGCTATCGCTGTTGGGGGATGGCAGATGGAGATGCGGAATGCGTTCCGGGACGAGACATCAACTCTGCGTCAAGATCTCAGCAAGCTAGAGGAGCGAGTGGCAAGAGTAGAAAAGGGCCAGGCTGGCAGTGAAAAAGCAGGGGAGTTTGTTCTACGACCGGAGCTGGTGCTGCTCAAGAGCAGGGTGCAGAATGTGGAAAAGGTTGCATTGAAGATGCCGACTGGAAGCGAGATTGACGGAAGGCTAGCGGTAGCACTGAAGGGAGTAAAGGAGGACATGGCTGGGACATGCAGTGGAATACAGGGGGAGATGAGGGCCTTGCGGGGGATTGTGAAGAATGATGTGAAGGTTGTCAGCAAGGAGGCAAGGGATGATGGCAGAGCAGTGCGTGCAGAGTTGAAGGGCGAGATCCAGCGAGTGACTGCTGCTACAAAGGAGAGTTTAAAAGAGATCCAGGGACGGCTGAGGCAGGAAACGGAAAGTAGGTGTAACGAGCAGAAGAAAAAAGCGGAGGCGTACACGGCAAAGGTGGAGGATGTTGTAAAGGATCTGATGGCGAGAATAGAGGTCCTGGAGAGGCAGAACCGAGAGCTGGAAGGCAAGAACAGGGACCTCGAGCAAAGGGTGGAAAGGGTGGCGCAAGAGAAGAGGCAAGAAGAGGAGGCACAGGTGGAGAGGATGTCGGAAAGGGCAAGGGAAGTCATGGGGTATGGGGCACAGAGAAACAGGTTGGGGGAGGACGAAATGACGGATGAAGGCCGTAGTGGGAAGTTCCCGCGTGGGAACAGTGCAGAGTCAGTACACGATATGGGCAGCAGGGGTAATGAATGGAGCACTGACAACCGAGGGAGTGGTCACAATGACTATCGACGGAACGATTCTCACACTCGCGGGAATTATCAGCATGATCAGCAGAATCAAGGGTATGGGGCGCCGCTGCCACGTCTTGCCCGACCACCCGCCTTTGCACCAACTGCCCCAGCAAGGGATAAGCAGGAGCTGAAGTTGGCTATTGGGGTGTTTCGAGGGCAATATGCCACAGCCGGCGTGGGTGATCAGATTGCGCTCATTGCAAAATCTGTCCCAAGGAGTGTCATTCCCAGGGATGTGAGGAGAGATGAATACCGGTTTGGGGTCTTGGTCATGACATTCCGGTCATATCATGATAGGGATGCATTTACACGGGAGTGGAGTGCTGGCTATAAAAACTCACCGAGTGAGCAGGAAGGATTGAAGCTCCGGGGTATTGGGGAGGATTTTTAGAGGGGGCTGGGGGTCTCTTGCAGGTCAATGAGGTTGAAATATATCAGCTGGAGTGACACACTGCATGCATATTGAGGCAGGGAAGACCATGTAATTCATGATACCATGGGAGGGGTTTTTTTCCGCTTTTCCCCTCAATAACCAGGACATGAATGATCATAATCGCCCCCCTGTATTAGATATGTGTGTTCCATTATTGTACAACATTATGTAATATTGTACAGTATATGGTAAACTGGTTGTTCGGGAATCGGACCTCGCCAGTATAATTCATATCCTATCCTATCCATAATAAAATATGTGTGGCTTGTGGCCTAACGAGCGAAGTAAAAAAAGGTCCACTTATTGCACCGAGACTGGTTGCTTTCCGATTACGAATGATCCGTGATGTATGGTAAGACATTGATACAATTCGTGGACAAAGGAAGAGCATGGTAGTACACAGCTGTACCTGAAACGATAAGTGTAATGGCCAAAACAAAACACGACGAGAAAGGTCTTTCAAAATCTCATTTGTATGTTCCCTGAGTTCTGATCAGAGGAACTATCAACCATTATTTCCTTCATAGCGCCATGCTTAACCCCTCGACACTCACATTCCACCCAGTTCTCGGAAAGCCTGGTGCCTTTCCCCCTTCTCTTTCCTTCTCGTCACTCCCGTCCCACCCTTGCGCCATCATTGCCGTTGCATAGAGTAGTGCCCCGGATCCAGGGAAGTATGGTCTGTCGCGGAAGGTTGAGTTGAGTTGATAGCAGGGAGCGATAGCAAATGGAGTCACAGAAACCATTGAAAAAAAGGAAAATACAAGTAACGAAGAAATAGGCGACAAGAGTGATGATGAAAGGATGAGTGATGCGGAATGACAGATGTAAACTCGGAAACCCCAAGACACAAGAGACCAGACGAATAACATGAAGAGAGGACTGACGTAGGCACCCTCACCCCGCCTATCGGCATCCCAACATCGTCAAACTGGAATAACGGATGCAGCAGCCACTCGATAGCTTTTTCTGTATCGTTGTTCCGTGCGGCTGACATTGCTAGCATAGGGAAATCCCATCTGCGATGAATACGAGGATGAAGGAGGTTGGTCAGTCTGATATTAGGTATAGAAAAATGTAGAGGTAGAATAAGTAGGAATGTAAAATCAATGAATTGATCGAGTAAGAGCAGCCTGGAGGTGAACCGTTCGACAACGAACAACAAAGGACAGAGCCCTTGGGAATGGTTTAATGGAAGAAATGAAGGGAGGGAGGGAGGAAGTAGAAGAAAGAGATGTAGAGCCGATAGAACTTCATTATTTGAGTGCTTACCCCCAGCAATTACTAAAATTCCACCTTGCCCATACCTCCTCCATTGTCACCTTTGCTATCCCCAGATCGAGGCCTTCCGTAGGCGGAAGCCAACCATGTAATCCCACCAAGGAAGGATGATCATTGATATACGCTGGATCCGTCCAGAAATCAGGTTCAATGCCTTCATAGACGGCATACACCGTAGAAGTACCGTTATTCTGAATTGGGAGAGGAGCGAGGTTATTTTTGACTGTAGTCCAATCGCGTGGAACTTCTTCTCTGAGTTCATTGAACCACGCCTCTGCCAGACCAAGCCCAAACCGCCAATACGCCAATTCAAAAGCAGGGTTCACAGTCACATTCGGGGATGTATCCTCCGAAACGACGTATAACGGCGGACCCAGATCATATACCCCCGTAGACGCATTAAACCATGCGAAGACCGCCATCCAATCCGCTGTCGCCTTCACCACGTCTTTCCATTTCTCCAATGTCGAGAGAGAGGGAAAGGCGCGGTATTCGTATGTGGCGAAGACTAATGGATGGGGCTGTTCCCATATTAAGAGATTGTTGATTTCGCCGGGGGAAGAACGGCCTGAGGGATCAGTCATTTTGGGCCAACGGGCACCAGAGGACCAGCCTTGTTGGATTTGGGAACGGGAAAGAGAGGTAGGGAGGAAGGAAGTGTAGACGTTTGAGGAACGGTGGAGAATATCCCAGTTGGACCACAGCGCCCAGTGGGCAGAGTGCCAGAAGTATTCTTCCATGTGGAATTTGCTAGTGGGAGAAGGTCAGGAAGAATTGGACAATGAGGGTACATTCAGGAGACATACCCATACTAGTTGCATCAGAACATAGGAAGTGCATGAGTATTATACGCACTCGCTCGAACGGTCAGCTTACCCAGCCGTCATTCACTAGACCTGACTAGAAATAGTTAGTCAAGACCACGTTGACAAAACAAAGGAGAAGCGCAATTGCATGACGGAGGTTTTGGTGGTCGGAGAAATGGGAGAGGACAAGTGCTTGGCAACTCAAGAAGAATACATTACCTCTTGCGGTGGATCCTCCCCCGCCTCGTTAACTCTCATCAAATACCTCGAAAGGATGATCCTTCTCTGCAATTCGTCGGCTCTAGAATCTGTTGACCCGGTAATGAGATCGATAAATCCACCATCCATCCAGTATGATTCCCAGGTGGCGATGGATGATTGGACAAGGGAAGCGGAAGAAGGGAGTGAGGAAGGGAGGGTGGAGTTGTATGAGATTACGAGGGAGAGAGAGTGGGTGTCTGAGTGGGGAAGGATTGTGTAGCGGTGAGCGATAGGCGAATCGCGTGTGATGTTGAATTTGGTAGAACTTTCAACCGCGGTATAGAATATCGCGTCAACCATTTGATGTTTAATCTGAGCCTGAATTTCGCTATGGTCCAATAACGTGGTGGTATGGTTATCGAAAAGGGCAGAGCTAAAGTTTCCTACGAACGGAGCACTGAACTTTTGAGAACCATCTCCCCAAGGAAAGTCGAGGAAAATCCCGAGACGAGTAAAGGCGTTACTCGTATTGGGAAATAGGAGAGGAGAGGAGACTGTGACTGTGATTGCAGATATATCCTGCGCCGAAGTAGTGGTCACGTTAATGGTCGTATCCTCGTAAGTAAATTCGCTTGACATGATTCCCGTCCATAAGTCCAACGTTTGGTGAACGTCGCTGAGATCACTTTCCGAAACGTTCTGGATTAAGCCTGTTTGCGCGTCCAGAAAAACCAGTCCGACAATTCCCAAATTCACCCGATTGGGATTCGCAGTCAACCACTGCTCAATCTCCGGATCTCCACCAAAATCATATTGTACCAATCTCCCATGATTGTACCACGATTCGCCTTTGTAATTGTATACATCCTCGATAGTGCGGTTTGGTGGAAGTGAGTCGTTTTTCCAGCCCCAGGAAGACATGGTAGCAAAGGGAAGGAAAGTTTGTAGCGAGGTCACATCGGCGCCGAATGCAAAGTTGCCGTTACCGACTTGCATGGGTGTTGTTGGGTTGGACGCATTTCGAGTGGGATTGTAGCGGGTTACGAGGGAGTGTCGGTCGATAGCGGCGTTGGAGGTAAGAAATATCGAGCAGAGTAGGAAGAGGCAATATATATTGTTTGACTCTGTAGGGAACATGGTAGGAGGTTGTTGAGGATTTGGCCATGACCAGTTCAGTTATGTATCGCAGTAGGTGTCGTTGGAGTTTGCCTACGACTATGTCAGAATATAAAAGATGGATCATGGGGTATATGTAGAACGCGTCTGACCATTGTGACTATCGTCTTCTGAAGTCTCCGGACCGTCATAACATCAACAGAAATCCGTATGCAGTGAAATCCTTCTAGTTATTTGACTTGAATGAGAAATTTAGAACTTTTGTGAAGAAAAACTTACCCTTCATCATGGAGCGAATGGATACTAGGGTGAAATTGAACCTGTAGCGAGTTTCCAGGTTATGAAACGTAAAATTTTGACTCGGATGTCAGTGAGGCGTAACGCGTAGAGAGTAAGACCCAGGTGAGACCGATGCTGATGAGATTTTTGTACGGAATGCATCGGGCCGACCAAGTATAGATGTAAGGTGTTACTTGCGACATCATCCTGTATGTTCATGATCCCTGTTGTTCTGTACAACATCCGAGCCCATATGAGACTGTCCTTCTGTAGGGAGCTTATATAAATTATATTTGAGCGTGAAGGGGTGAATAAAATGAGCACTACTCGCGTCACTGTCAAGTTGTCGTTCTAGGCCCATCATAGGCACTCCTACAGCACCTGGAATTTCAACTCCAACAGTTGCAAAATAGGTCTGTGAAGTAGCAACAATCAATATTGATGCTATACCTTGTGTTGGGAGTACAGAGAAGATGTCATAAGTATAAGGCAACCTTTCGGAGGAAAAATGTGTCAGTCACATACCACAATCTGCGTGAAACCACAATGTGTTATGAAAAACACTCAGGAAACTCCCGAAAAACTGAAAGCCTGCTACAGGATAAAAAATATCGGAGAGAGAACGAAAGACTCTAAACTTCGGACTGTGTTAGTATATTTATAATAGAGAACTTATGCGCAAAGTGACGCCCTGAAGGAATTTGGGAAAAATCACATTAACATTGTCCTACATTATTACACCGGTTATACCACCATACATAGCACTTGGCTCTTTATTCCTTCGCTCCGCTGATATAGTAGAATTGTGGTCTACTTCGGATTGAGCGTGTTCTTCAGCTCTAGCCTTCAGCTGTTCTGCGAGTCTCTCAGTCCTTGCCCTTGACTCTTCCTTTTTCCGGCGCTTCTCTTCGGCCTTCAGGGCCTTGTTGTCCAAGGGCAGTTGGGGAGCCTCACTAGACATCGAAGAAGGCAGGGAGAAACGTTTTTCTTTTTCTTTTTTCCTGAAGAGGGAAAACCGACGTCTTATTGTAGATGGTGACGCAAGACACGGTGAAGACGACGGAGATTCGGGAGAATTTAGGGACGATGTGGGACTGAGGGTATCGGAGATAGAAAGAGACAACGGACGCAAGTCCAGCTCACGTTGTTCTTCGGTTATGATATCACTTTCAAGTGTATTATGCACGGGAGTACCGGACGATATGCTATGTCCAGTTGTAGAGTCTGCCAAGGCGTCTGACTGGGGTATAAATAGTACGTCCAGAACCTGCTTGCGACGCGTGTTAACATTTGATGACTCACATACCATCTATGGAACATTGTTCTCTTGTTACAAACCACTATCTCACTATTGTGTTATCAGTCTCACCGTCGTGTTATCAATCCCACCATCGTGTACTATTACTATAGGACTACCAGTAGGATACATCGTATTGTACTTCTTTTCTCTCTCGCTATGTTTAGCTGTAACATGACATCGTCTACCTTGGACTTGTATATAAACCTGTAGTATTCGTCTTGTCGAATAAGCAGTTCTCTCTACTCCTTCATCGTTTGATCTGTGTGATCAACTACAGTGCTGTGTGCACTCTATCTCTTACTGCCATTGCTGCTGAATATAACGTGATTATATTCTAACAGGTTATGGGCCCCGCCCTAACCTAAATAAACAAGAAATACGGTGCATACATTGATTTATGTCATTAAGGACTAACCCTCCTCGCAAAGCCGATAACCGTCCAACCAAGCCAACTGCAGCTTGTGCTCATAGGGAGCATATCTTCGATAAAGACGACGTCAAGGATCGGTATCACGATCCCGACGGCAACAAATACAGAGTTTGCAAAGATCAACCTTGTCCGAATAGATACGACAAAATAACAACTGGTTATATCCCTGGCTTTGCTAGACTTATCGACAGAAAGCAAGAAGACCTTATACTTGGACGAGGAGCACCCCCAGAGCAGGTCGCATCATCATCATCCCAGAAACCAGAGGGTACGCCAGAAGCAGCACCAGCTCCAGAACCAGAATATCCTGTATTCCCACCACCACCTAGCCCAGTACTAGACCGACCCTCATCACCAATATCTTCACTACCAAGATCTTCACCACCTCCACCAGATCCGGAAGACCCAGATCCAGGAGCAGAAGTATCAGATCCAGAAAGTGACGACGACGACGATATGTCTAAAGTATTCAAAGCCTTTGACAAGGTATCTACGCTTAAAAGTGATGGATCTAACTGGGACACGTGGAAGAATCGAGTGGAGCTAGCCACCCGATCAATTGGATTTTCAGATCACCTCACATCTAATCCAAAAGATAACACTGAAGCATGGGAAGCCAAGAAAGACGATGATGGAAATTTATTAAATGCCATTGTGGGCCGCCTATCAGACCAGATCTATAGGCGATACAAGAATTACGAAAACGTGTTTGATCTATGGAAAAATCTGCTGAGTGATTTTGATTCGAAAAGTGCTCTCACTGAAGCGCACTTACAACAACAGCTTCATTCCATGCACTGCCATGAACCGTCAAAGGTTAATGAGCATTTGGATAAATTGTTGGAAATCAGGGACAGTTTGGAGGCGCGGAAAATCACCATTCCCGAGGAAATGTTCAATAACACAATCATTGCTTCCATCCCAAACATATTCAAACCAACAATTAACGCATTAGTAGTGGTTGCAGCAAGGACTTCAGTCCCGCTGACCACAAGGGAGCTAGTTTCGACGATACGTGCTGAAGCATCTGGTCATACCCGAGGACAGTCTGGAAAGAAGGAATCTGCAAACTATGCCGGTGGAAATTCCAACCGCGGCAGGGGTGGATTTAACCGAAATCGTGGAAACTTCAGAGGCCAGTCCAGGGGCAGAGGAAATGGTAATAGAGGAGGAGGTCAAAGTCGACCAAACTCGAACAATTCCACATGCTACAATTGCGGTGGAAAAGGGCATTTCGCTAATAAATGCAGTTCGCCGAAGCGACAACAGGCCAACGAGGCCCAAGAGAGTTCTCAGAAGAAGGAGAAAAACCAACCATCTGGGAGCGGCAGTAATAATTGGAGATCAAAGAATAAAGAAGTGGGATCCTCAGCCACCATTGAAGAAGTACCCGAGTCATCGTGGGCAGCCGTGGAAGTTACCACAACTACGTCACAGGAAATATTTAATTTCTCTGAAATCGCTAGTAATTACGAGACAGCTTTCGTAGCATCTCACAGCAGCGGAGCAATTCTGTTTGATTCAGGATGCTCATCCCACATGACGCCACTTCAGGACAAACTTCGCAACACGCGGAGTGTCCCTACCCGAATTATCCAGGCAGCTAATGCCGAGACCTTCACATCCAACACTGCCGGAAATCTCCAGATCGATCTTCCAATCAACGAGGATGGAATTTCGAAATCGCTTACACTCCAAAACACTCTCCTATGCCCCAACACACCTAACACACTTGTATCATTGGGTAAACTCGACGATGCAGGATATGTGATGGTAATTAAAGATGGAACTCTTAAAATCATCAATAGACAGGGAGAGACGATTGGAATTGTTCCCAAGACAAATGGTCTCTACCAGATTCCGAGCGCAGAATATGCCTATGCCGGGAAGGCAACCAGGATGGTTTCGCTTTATGAAGCACACTGCATCGCTGGCCACCAGAACTATGCTTATGTCAAACATATGTTCAAATCAAACCAGGTTCACGGGATCAAGTTAGATCCTAAGCAGATGGAAGAACCCGAATGCCGAACTTGCATGCTTGCTAAAGCTGCCAGATCTCCGATCTCCAAAATTCGAACATCCCCGAGAGCGGAGAAATTCGGTGATGTATTTCACATGGATGTATGGGGACCAGCTTCTGTCCAGACGCTAAATCATTATGTCTACGCATTGACAGTCATCGACGAAGCCACCAGTTGGTTGGAGGAACCGTTAATGAAGGGCAAAGATGAGGCTTTCGCTCAATACGTAATACTCCAAACCGGACTCCAAACGCAATATGGCGTAACAGTCAAGAAACTCCACTCTGATCGAGGGGGAGAATTTCTCAGTGGTGAATTCACAGCATACCTGGAACGATTAGGCACTAAACGTAGCCTTACGGTACATGACACTCCGGAACACAACGGCATAGCAGAACGCAGCCACAGGACGCTACTCAATGGAGTACGCAGCCTCATGATATCATCTGGATTACCGAAATGGCTTTGGGGATTTATGATGGGGTACACAGTGTATGTATGGAACAGGACACCAAAGAAGGCAAATGGTATGATTTCTCCATGGGAGAAACGATTTGGCACAATCCCCGACATTTCCAACTTCCACATCTTTGGAAGCACGGTCTATGTTAAACGTGAAAAGGAGCCTGGGAAGCTTGACGCTCAAGCACAGGAAGGACGATGGGTAGGCATTGAGCCAGAGTCTAATGGTTACTTCATCTATTGGCCAGATCGCCACACAGTCTCAACTGAACGTAATGTGCAATTCTCTGATAGGCAGATCCAACCCGTTGAGGGGGAGGATCAGGATTTGGGAAATCTGGAAACATCGGTCACCGAGTCGGAACAGCCTATCATACCAGTACCGGAGGAAATAGCTGAACCCATCAACCCAGATATAATCACAGGAAAACGTGTCAGGAAGCCGACCAAGAAAATCCAGGACATCATCAATGGACTTGGAGAGCCGAACCGAGAGCTCAGGCATCTTACAGCATCACTTGGTCAAGTAACAGGTGAAATCATCGCTGACCCCACATCAGTTGCAGAAGCAATGCGACGTCCCGATTGGTCTCAATGGCGGGAAGCCATGAATGAGGAAATCCGTAGATTACAACAGCGCGGGACATATGATATTGTCATTCCACCTGATGATGCCAACATCCTCACATCAAAATGGGTATTCAGGACGAAGCGAGACGAACAAGGAAAAGTCACAGGTCACAGAGCCAGACTAGTGGTACGAGGTTTTAACCAGATACCAGACGTTGACTACTTCCCAGATGAGACGTTCGCATCAGTCACAAAGCTAGCAGCAGCTCGAGCCATCCTCAGCACAGGAGCTGAACAGAACATGTTCATCCACCAGATGGATGTCAAATCGGCATACCTATATGGCAAACTGGACGACAATGAACAAATCTACATGAAGGCACCGCCAGGCGTCGACATTGAAGTTAAAGCAGGACAAGTGCTTAAACTCAAGCTCGCCCTCTATGGACTTAAACAAGCCGGTCGCCGTTGGTACATGAGATTCAGGGAGATCATGACATCAGTCGGTCTCACCAGGTCAAATTTCGATCATGCTGTATTCTATCGAACTGACCCTTTTTGTATCATATTCATCCACGTCGATGATATGACTATGCTTACCAAGACCATGGCTGTAATGGACACTCTAAAGAAGAAGATCAGGGACCAGATCGAAGTTGTCGATTCTGGAGAGATTCACTGGTTACTAGGGATTGAGATCCGCCGATCTCTACATACACGGTCCATTCATTTATCCCAAAGGGCATATATTGACGCAATCCTATCTCGATATGGATTTGCAGATGTCAAACCCCTTTCCATCCCATTCGATCCACACATACATCTTACCAAGGACCAGATGCCAACTACCGTCGAGGATATCACATACATGCGCGACAAGCCCTACAGAGAAGCTGTTGGCGCCCTACAATACTTATCAGTAGCAACTCGACCTGACATCACTTATGCAGTCGGCATACTGGCAAAGTTTTTGCAGAACCCCGGAATTACTCACTGGAATGCTGTAAAGCGTGTTTATGCATATCTCAAATACACCCGAGATCTATGGCTCACATTTGGAGGAACACAAGCAGAAATTGAAGGATACACGGACGCTGACGGAATGTCCCAGGAGGATAGACATGCTATCTCAGGATACGTTTTCATGCTCAACGGAGGAGCAGTGTCATGGTCATCCAAGCGACAAGATACCATCTCATTATCAACCACGGAAGCTGAGTATATTGCTTTAACTCACGCTGCAAAGGAAGCAATTTGGTTTAGGAATCTCTTATCGGAACTATTTGGCCCTATCACAAAACCAATCATTCTCAACGCCGACAACCAATCTGCCATCGCTCTTGCTAAAGATGATCGCTTCCATGCCCGAACCAAACACATTGATATTCGATACCACTTCATCCGATATGTCATTGAAGAAGGAAAGATTCGCCTTGTTTACTGCCCTACGGAGGACATGACTGCAGACATCTTTACAAAGGCGCTTCCATCTCTTAAGGCCAAACACTTCGCTGCGTCCATGGGACTAACAAAGGTTTGAGGGGGAGTGTTAACATTTGATGACTCACATACCATCTATGGAACATTGTTCTCTTGTTACAAACCACTATCTCACTATTGTGTTATCAGTCTCACCGTCGTGTTATCAATCCCACCATCGTGTACTATTACTATAGGACTACCAGTAGGATACATCGTATTGTACTTCTTTTCTCTCTCGCTATGTTTAGCTGTAACATGACATCGTCTACCTTGGACTTGTATATAAACCTGTAGTATTCGTCTTGTCGAATAAGCAGTTCTCTCTACTCCTTCATCGTTTGATCTGTGTGATCAACTACAGTGCTGTGTGCACTCTATCTCTTACTGCCATTGCTGCTGAATATAACGTGATTATATTCTAACAACGCGATGAAGCGGAGGGAGCACCTGTTCTGTCTCGATAAATCTCAGGAAGAGGCACCGGAAGGGGGCTGACTGTTTTCTCATGGAATAACAGTGGCGCAGTTGATCCTGATGCCACCGCAACAGCTGGAATAGGAGGAAGAGGTCGGACTCTAGGCCTGCGCGAAGCCTGATCGTATTTAATCAAGTTATTCTGAGATGCTATGGAAACGGACGTCGGCGAGGTAGAACTCCCATCTTGTGAATAAGGCGGGGGTGGAAGCTCATCCGTAATCGAACTTCTGCTTTCTGAAAATTGTCGTCCATAGTTTCGAAGCGTTTCAAGGGGAAACTCCTCTTGGAACTCGCATTCACCGCGTAGATATCCTGCAGCCAGACCACATATGCGCATATACCTGTCACATATCAGATCCTTCAGCATAGCGTAATAACGAACGAAAGTAATTAAAGAAAGATCAGAAGGTCTCTCACCAGTCGGCCGGGATACTATAACCGTCCTCGTCCAAAGGCAATAGCGGGCTGTCGTGAGATACTGGGAGTAACAGTCTGCTTTCCACAGCAGGCATCAAGGCCGTTCCTTCATCGTATCTATCATTGAATTAGACCGTCGACCAATAGAATCACTGAGTTGGATTCTTACTCGTCCCATGTAGCACCATAAATGATTGTTGCACCATTCTTGAGTGCATTATAAATTTGTCGCCACAAGAAATGACCCCCCTCGCGTTTAATATTGTTGAAGGCCCATTTACCTCCCGACATGTTGTAGCCCTATTTGTCACGAGGGTGCGTTAGTTCAGGACAGATAATTTATGGAGGGGATTACTGACTGAACCTCCTGGTAGTACTACGGGAATATAATCGACGTGGCGGAAGGGTCCTGGCCGGATTTGATTCGTAGCAGTTATCAACTCTACATCTGCCTTCATAATCTCGTTCGAATATTGAGTCGCATCGTCTTCATTCCTATACCGACCAACAGTCCAAGGAGATATAGCGTCAAAAGACTCCAGCCATAGATTTAGGAATGCGGGATTGTGATCAGAATCTCCATCAGCTGTCCGCCAGTGGGTTGGAACTCCTAAGAAAGATCAGGCTCGCGCTTCGAGGACTAGATCAAGGAATGAAGAAGCCAACCTGCGATGATATACACGCCACCAGGAGTAGACTCCCGAAAGAACGATACGATAGCTCTTATAGGATAGGATAGGATAGGATAGTTAAATTATACTGGCGAGGTCCGATTCCCGAACGACCAGTTTACCATACTGTACAATCTCTACTTAGATTACAGTATTGGAACACACATTTCTAATACGGGGGGGCGATAATGCCACTCTCACACTTGATGAGGAAAAAGCAGGAAAAAAACCTCGTGAGACGTGCACGGTCTTCCCCGTCTCGACAATGCATGCAAGCAACCTTTGCATCAAGATGGGACAAAGATTTCAACCTCATATACAACTTCTAAAACATCATATGCCAACTTTGCAAATAATTCCGTGATTCTTGTATCAGCCAATAAGGTGCGGAATAGCATCCATGCATCTGGATAGAATTTTGCATATTGTGGAAGTCCCAGGATTACTTTCTGCATGAAAGTCTCCCTTAATTTGATCAATTCAAGACTGCCCTTACATTCAAATAAAACATGGGCAGGATCCTCGACTGAGCCTTTACAAAGACGGCACAACCGGTGCTCTCTGATTATTCGAGGTCTGTTTCTCTCATCCCAGCGCAACCGTTCCACCGCAAGCTGGTGATTACCAGTCACAATGTGGATCAGTGCTTTCCGATGTGAACCTGTTGGGACATTCAAATAGTGTCGAAAAGTCAGAGGTTTAAAGACCATCTTTTTCTGTTTCCGGTCATACTCCGTTCGTTCTTTCAGAGTGTCCATTGTTCTGGGACAAGATATCACAGCCTTTTGCAGAGTCTTCTCCATGGAATTTTGAATGCCAGTGATTAGATCATTCAGGTATGCAGTAGTGATATCCTCAAACTCTGGAATGTTCCAAGTGAATGGTATTGGCAGGTTGTCAAGTACTCTGCATGCCTCCAAAATTATTGATGTGTGTCCATTTTGAGCCAAAGAGTAAGCTTCTCTGAATGCTTTCCATGCGAGATGATGATGTGGTAAATTGACCAGGTACTGCATGTTCTTGAAGAAAAGAATGATTCTTCGATAGCGGATTGGCATCACTCCCGTTTCGGTGAACAGAATCTGGGTTGATGATCGTTTTTGTAAAGAGAGAACCCTCCGTAAGAAATAATGTTGTACTTCCTCTAATTGGTCTCTATGAGATGCAACCACATCCATACTGAACTCGGCACCACTTTTCAAATATGGGTCAATTCTAGCCCAGTACATAGTAATCATATCCTTTATTGGCATGTCACTGCCTACAAAAGCCTTAGCATGAAGGACTGCACCTGCAGCATTCTTAGCCTTATCTGCGAGTACCTGATAGTTGTCTTTGTATATGCTTCCTCGACCAGTCTGATGATGTACCCCAATATATTTCAGTTTCTTCTTCTTTTGCAAAGGTTTGTCATGTAGCATGAAAACAGTGTCAGTGACAACTTCCTTTCCAAATACTGCAATCATACATTTAGGCACAGATACTTCAAAACCTGTGAAGGATGCATATGCTTCAAATTGTCTAAGCTTAGATTGAATGCTAGATGGTGTTGTCCCAGCCATTCCTGTGTCATCTGCTTGCAACATGTGGTTGACATACATATCATGAAGAACCACATCTGTTGGGTGTTCCGTCACTTTAAAATCTGCAACAACCAGATTAAACAATTATCTGGGTCATGTCGGGTTTTGGAAAATCCAAATCCTACATAGGCCAGGGATTGAGCGACCGACGAGTAGCACACGGGGATCCATGTAACTTACCCCATAAGCAGACCACTGGTTTGCCTCGCTCCTGAAGATAATTTGGACTGTCCAATATGCATCGCTCGCGAATGAGATGCAGCCAATCATGCTCGAGAATTTGTTGTATGCGATTGGGTTGGACTCCAGACACATCATATCTGATGGAGTTTATTATTCATTCAGTCAAATCATTGAAGCTTGTGTTATAAACGGACGTGATGGAAAACACTCTGCCCTCAGCTTCAGCGGCTAGCCTCACATTATCACCAATTTTGTCTCTCCAATCCAGAATAGCTTTGTGATCTGGATTCAATGGATCGCATTGCCCTGCAAAGCGTTGGAGAAATACACCGTCGATACCATGGCACGCCATCCAATTGAAATGCCTGATGTCCGAACTATGAGTACTTTCCCGTAGATAACTAAGCACCCACCTCTGAACAGTTTTAGGGTTGCAAGAAGAGAATAGAAACGCTTGGCTTCCGGATTTATGCTTGATGCCCGGAACAGGAAACAGTTCCGAGGGCGGATATCGAGACATGTCGGGCCAAAGATCTGTAGCAAGTTTATCGCCACCACCCTCTTCGTCGCACTTCGTTAACCAGTGTGACCAATCATGGCCTTTTATCGTTGGAGTCAGATACGCGTTGACATCTACCAGAATTTTAACACATACCGAGTCCTGCACCATCTCCTCGACAAGTGAACCTTTGTACAAAACCTCAGAAAACTCCTCACGATAAACACCTCGCTAGCGTACCAGCCCTGATAACCGACCAAAAACTTGCGCTGTATGGTGGTAGTATCGACTCTAAATGGTAAAAACTTGAGCACCTTGCTCTTTCAGCGAGGCAATGGATCGACCTTTGGAAATTGTCGGGTCCATGTTGCAGTGTACTCTGGGACACTCGGTTCATAGAAAAATTCCTTCAGTGCAAGAACCGAAGAGGTACCGATGAAAGCTGTCTGACGTCTGCAGCAGGTCTGCAGGGTCCATCTATGTAGATGAACGTACATTATGTAAATCGGGCGCTGACGGCCTCGAGGTCATGCTGCCACAGTGCGTGCGCGATGCATTCGAAGAATATTTATTCTTTGCTTTTGTCCTCCAAACTTCCCTGATCAACAAGATAGCCCGAATGTATCCCAACCAATCCACACATTTGAGAGTGTTCCGCCCATATTATCGATTGGATAGAGTGATTTCTTCAAGCTTGTAAACTGAGATCGATTCTGCGAGGTTCTGCGGTATTGCCGGTGCTGAAAATGCTCAAAGAGGCTTATACTCTAGAGTGGTAATAGGATAGCTTCAACTTCGTGAGAGTTTTCGATCCGAAGATCCTCATCAGATCTGAAACCAAAGGCATTTCGACGCAGTACTGTGCAACTTCTCAAACGGTATCCACAGGCCATCTCTGGCCATGTTCAAGGAACTGTACCGAAATTTGCCTTTACATGCCACACCGGTCGAGTACAGATATGATTTCAATCTGTACAGTAACTTTTAAACGATGAGGGTTCTGTTGTCCAATGAGTAAACCACGAATGCCATTTAAAGATATACCGATAAACAGAGCGTCCAAGTTCTTAGCCCATTTGTAATGCACACTATGCAACCCAGCACATCCACGACATCCAAGTGACCAGGACTGCTACCATACTCCATGTATACTCACCTCGTTGCCAACCCTTGTGATTACTCCAGGCGTTGTTCGGTATGAAAGTCGGCGCGTGACCCGCTGCCACACTAACGGTGGCCAGTGTTTGAGTTGGTCCACCGGCGGCAGGAACGCCAGCAGCGGTGTTCGTCGCAGGCCCGCTAGTCTCCACCGTGTCAGCGCCAATGTAGAACTGACCAAGATCATTGAGAGAGCCATTGTTATTCAGCATGTCTTGTAAAATGATAGTGTGTCAATTAGTCCAAGTCGTCAGGTTGTGAGATCACCTACTGTATGCGGAGCCATTTTCTGGTCTCTGTTATTGACACAAATATTTTAGCAGGAGTTGCACTGGGGAAAAAAAGGTGGGAACTTACAAAGTATCCAAACCATGCATATCTCTCAACAAAGTCCAGGCCGTCCATGAAAACCGTTGTCTGATTGATAAAGTCCATTACCTCTGCGGGACATGACATGGGTTAAGTGATTGAATTGAACTCGAACGGACAGACCTACCTGTATCATTCAAAGACGTATCTGCGTACTCCGTTACCCAAATGGTTTTGTTACCGAATTCACCGTACATCTGATACAAGTAATCATAGAAACCTCCAGTACCTTCGCCATACCTCGTGACAGAGGGATTGCAGATCAGCTTTTATTGCAAGATGAAGATGTTCGAGGTGAATGCTCACCAATGGATTGGAAGGAAATCAAAGCTACAATTACCACAAGCGGAAAAGAATGTTGTCAACCAAGGGAACCCGGTCCCGCCGCTACTGACCGCTGGTGCACCAATCTTGATTCCAGGTATGTCAGTCCTTAATGGCTCAATATATTGCATCCATAATTGCGCGGCGGTTTTGGGATCGATATTGGATTGTTGGTTGAAGTCGGGTTCATTGAAGGTCTGAAAGACAGTCATGGTGAGTTGCGGCAAAATCAAAATCACTGGTCCCGCTCACCAAGAGAACGTTCGTTCCCTGGGCCTTAACCGCCGCACTAATATTCTCAATCCCACCTGAGCCCCACTGCATCGGCACATATTCTATGCCAGATTGCGCCAAATTCGTCGGAGGGGTCAGCCCCCAGTCATACTGCCACGAAATGACGCTCTTGGTCTGATTAACATTTAAGATGTCCGGGATGTTATCGGTGGAAGGATAAGAGAGTCCGCGTTTGGTATTTTTACCGGTGCTACTAGTAGTGGTACTGGCAGCAGAGGAAGATGTAGCCGAGGACGTTGCGGAGGAGGAGACAGACCCAGACGCGGGAGAAGCGGTTATGAAGTGAGGTAGGAAACAAGCAAATAAATAAATAAGAATAGAGGTGTGCATGATGTTGATGTTCTCGTTAACGAAAGATAACGGATAGAAGCAAGAGCACCAGTTAGTGAGCGAGTGGAGGACGAATTATAAGCAAGGTCGAGCCAAGCTATCTAGACGTAAGTTGGAAGGCTTTGAGCGGAGAAGAAGGGAAAGAAAGCCAGTACTAGTGGACGACCGAAGGGAGGGGAAGGTCAAATCAAACAGGCAGGGGGCGATGCTGATTATAAGAACGTCTGCTGTAAGACAGCAGTTACGAATACACCGAGGTATACGTTCCTATCTCGGTCCATTTTCGTTTTACGGCCTGTTCTGACAGGAACATTTCGATTTTTCAGGAGACGGATAGGCCTTCAAGGGCAAACATTCAAAGTTTTGGGCGTGCCTTGAGTCCTTGCTTCTCCAACCTGCCTATCAGTATTCTTTCTCCGACTCCGAGCCTCTCCGAGAACCAGAAATGTATACTGTTGACCATCGTAATTGGGTAGACACTGAAGGACCAATGTCAGAAGATGAATGAGCTCTATCACCGCAGGCACGTACAGGGCACGTATCAATTTTTGTGAACATATATATAGCTTTCGGGAGGTGAAAGATACAGCAAGTTCAACTCAGACGGGCGTAATGCACATCTATTAGGTTGATAGAGAGTGATCAACAAAAAAGCAATGATTGAAAGGACCCTGGCCCTGGGTCCGGATATCATTACCGGCGGTTGGCATACACGGTCTCGTGATTGTGAGCCGTATGAGTATCGGACGACTTTCAATTTGAGTTTCCCACTGGGCACACCGCTCTTGATTCTTGAAGTCGTCCACGATGGCCTCATCTCCACCCACCATATTCACCGCAACATCTTTATTCTCTCTTCTCGGAGTCATAGTGGTCGGCATAGCTGCTCATATAGGGTCTAAACTTCTCCTTCCTAAAAATGCAAGTACCAAAGATCGGTTCACGTTCATATGGCTGGTGGGTGTCTTTTCTCATGTTATCATGTATGTTTTGTCTTTACCTTTGTTCTTCGATTGGATTCCGTCATTTATGAAATGACCAACCCCTTGCTTGCAGGCTTTCGATGCGATGATTCACTTCTCCTTCGAGGGATCGTTCCTGTACCTTTCTGTATTGGGCAGGCAAGTCAATACGAGTACGGGGCCTTTCGCGGAGATGTGTACGTTCTTTTCGAGTGCCTTCATGCTGATGTCCGTCTACTAATTTTTATATCAATCCCAAAACCTAAACTTTCCTCATGGACACCACACATCTCCGAATATCTCCCATACCTGCCTGCTATTTGCTTTGTTGACGAGAATAGGGCGAGAATACGCTGCGGCTGACTTACGCTGGGGGAACGCTGATCCTGGAATCGTATCGCTTGAACTCTTGACCGTTCTTGGAGCTGGGCCTATCTGCTGTTACATTCTGAAGCAACTGGTCAATGATGATCCGGCGAGACATTTTTGGATTGTGGTTTTGAGCACTGCTGAGCTCTACGGAGGGTGCGTTATGCTGCCAGTTCAGTTGCTTGTTGCTTTTTGACATGTGTACATGTAGGTGGATGACATTCTGTCCCGAGTGGTTGACCGGTAGCCCAAACCTGGACACCTCGAACTGGCTGTACCTTTGGGTTTACCTTGTTGTGAGCTATCGAACTTAGCCCAACGTACAATGTATTATACTGACTCTCTTTGCACCTAGTTCATGAACGTAATGTGAGTAGCGTCCTCTTTTCTATTTACTCCTCTTCTCACCATTGTCACGTATCAGTTGGGTCGGCATCCCCATCTGGCTCATGTATGACTCTTATCATTACATTGCCCAAGCAGTGCGCCTTAACCGCGCATCTATCAAGTCTAAAACTGCATAATGAACTGGAAAAGTCTTCAATTCGTTCGAATTAGCCTTATTCGACCGCAAAAATAGGATAATGGAGACACTCATGCTGCTATCTATCGAAAGATTTGTCGAGTATTTCATGCTGCATCTATCAAAGGATTTGTCGGCGTTTCTAAATAGCACACATTTCTTATCAACCAAGTACTCTTTCTCTCATGACCTCATATCGATTGACCAAATGGGCACTACCCGAATATTGATTATGACGAGTGTACTATGAACAAAAAAGATGCAAAAGCGACAAAGCTAAGTAGCGAGAGTAACGAGCTGTGAATTAATTGGGGCTTTTATGTGTATATGATGTCCGAGGCATATGCAAGTTCGTCAAACAAGAACAAGTCTGATCACGGTTTATGAAGAATAAGGCGGCGACACAAATCGAGCGTGTCAAGGAAAGTCGTTGTCTCATATTGCTCATGCCTGAGCAGCCTGGATTGTGAGCCTGTTCGAAATGTTTCCCGAGTCGCCGAGCACTGAAAATCCATAAATCAGCACTCTGAAAACCATAAAGGTTTTAGAAACGTACAACAAAGAACATAGCTGTCCCGAGTGGTCAAGTTTCTCGAAGGATCGAGTGTGAAGTAAGCGATTCCATCGGTGAGGGGGAAACCACAAGCGAGAGGTTTTCCTAGATAGAATAAATATATTAGTATGTTTTGATATCGAGCCCGATTAAGTGAACATACTCCAGTCGAGGTGCTCATCTGAGCTGGTATCGTTATCGTCGAGATATCCAAGCATAATGATTCCAGTGTTGTTTCTTGCATCTTCAGGGATATTATCCGTTTCTAATCACCGCAAAGATTAGGCGAGTAAGGGCGAGTATCAATGAGCGTTTCAGAAACTTACCCCAAGTCATCTGAAGGTATACCGTCAGTTAGTCCGATTTAAAATACAAGAAAGACCTACATTGTACACAGTGTTTCCTGACTGCCAGACAATGTCTTCGCCTAGAGGATACGTAATGGTAGGCGACCACACAACTTCTTCTTCTCGAGAAGCCAGTATGGGCGAGGAATAGACGAGGTGCGAAAGGGAGACAAGGAAGAAAGTGAAAACGGTGGAGAATTTCATATTGATTTTAGGCGACAATGCAGTTACGACGAAGAGAAATTATTTGAGAAAGTGCAGTAGAATTTCCGATATGCTGAAAGATGCAATGGTCGTGAGTATCGAGCGTTGAAAGTTGGAGTATGTGTTGAAAAGCTGTGGAGAGTGAAACAGGTTTTTATACAACTTAGGGCCATGTTTGTTTGGCTCTCGAGAAGCTCCTCTAGATCGGAAATTTACTTCACCTTTACACCTAAATTGGACTCTAGAAGAGTCTATAAGGTTAGAGACCCTTAATACGCGTAAATGCAGCGGCATTTGGCTGTCCGCCTGTTGCAGTTTCAAGTTCTCGCCCTTCGCATAGTAATAAACCGGTGACCGCTATCGATTCTTCTTCGCTGACTCTAATTCCCGATTTGCGGATATTTCCCTCTCAAAAACAAGATAGCCTAAGAGTAATCATCGTTACTCCTGAGTCTTGCCCCTTGGTTCTCTTTGCCAGGATTGCGTATCGAAAATATTGAGCCTCGAGATGAAAGTGGGAACGAGTTTGAGCTTTTTCCCAATATAGCAACTTAAATTCCAATTCCGGAAATCCGAAATACCAGTACAGCTGTTTAGCTCCGGTAGCTTTCGTACTCATCAAATTCTATGTACATACCCCTGTTATTAACCACATATGAAACTCTATCAAGACTTGAAATTTGCGGAGCCAACTTTCATTTAACTCATACTCAAGTTCATCTCAAGCTTGAAGTTGCTCCACCCGCATTGTACCAAGAGGAACGTAAGATCGTAACGCGGGCTTGGAAACTTGAAGTCGTTCATAGGCCGGACTGGGGTAGACCTTGTACAAGAAATATCATTTTCGGGACATATTCAGGACAGAGTGTACTACAGAATCTATCGCGCTAAAAGCACTATCAAGCGGCATCGGTATTCGGAGGGTCAGACGCAGAATCACTCGAGGAATCGGTGGGGGTACTCGAAGTATCGGAAGAGTTATTACTTGCCGCACCACCGGAGCCAGATTGAATCATGAATTCCGGACTGCGATTGCCCGAATCACCCATCACTACAAGGGAATAGGACTAAGACACGGGGTCGGAGGATGGAAAGGAAATAAGCGGACTCACAGACAATGATATAACGCCCGGTCGGAACGTCGGGAACTTCTATGGTCGCCTTGCCTAGGGTGAGATTGACGTATGATGCCAAAGGATGCTCTGAAGCGAAGAGATAAATGAGTGGAGATACGGACAAGAGAAAGTTCTAACGAAGATCAAGGTTCTCGCTCCCATTGTCACTCATATGGCCTAACAATATCGTGCCATTGGGGTTGGTAATCTGAGCGGGCGCGCCAGTGGTGATCCTATAACAAAAATCCATCACCATCTATTTGAGTACACGATCAGCACATGTACAGCTTTGAACATACCACGTAACATCGGCATGGTCATTCACTTTCCAAACAGTGCTGCTATCCGGCGATGTGATATTGGGCGACCATACATCGCGAATCATAAAAGGTAGAGACCTCGCATTGGCCGCGGGCTGAGCGATTGCGTCAATTCCGGATGCCCTCTTCAAAACCGCCGTGGGCGGCAGGGCCAGAGCGTCTGCCGTATTGGTGAAAGCGAGTAAAAGAACAAGCGTCGACGCGGAAGAGAACGAAGAAACTTTGTGGAAAAACATCGTCCAGCGATAATTCCAGTGAGAGTACACAGATAGGGATGATCAAAGTTGAGAGAAGACCTGCTTGCCTTTGACCCTGAGCAGGCTGTCCAGCTAATATACCTCCGGAGCCCGAGCCTGCCGATCATTTATGGGCGGGAACCGGGTTCGTCTCCGGGGAATGATAGAGAATGATCCTGCCTTTTGCTCGACTTTTGGTGAATCGATACGAGTGTATATGCAGCCATAATATACTGTCGATATGCTGCTCATGTTACGCCTTGATGCCATCTTTACAGAGCAGTTTGACTGGACTCACTTTTGGGCAACGATTTTTTCTCACAGCATCACATGTTTTCCACGATACACAAACGCGCCTGTTCAACTCATGCTTGTTCCACGACTGTCATCATGAAAGGCCTTTGTCTTCTAATTTGACTCGTGAACACTGCCTTCGTTTCCTTTATAAAAGCTCTGGTACGTGCTTCTTGACCTGGACCCACATATCACCCTCACTACATATTGTCAGCTTTATTGTATTTCAGGTCCTAAGCTTGACGCCACATTCAACTATACATATTTTGTTTAATCGAACTCACGAATCTTCTCCGGATGACCATTCTTGGGCCAGAACATATTGCCAATTGTCTACTCTGCTGTGCATATCTACTTCCAGTACTCCGACGCAGAAGGCGCCTGATATGAACGAGAGTAGTAACGTGAAGGAGAATATACCATTAAACAAGGAGCGATATAAGGCAATCGAGGCAGAGCACGATAATAAGAAGTACCACACGTCGCATCCTCACAATAATTTGAACCCTCCCATCTTATCCATGGCCTCATCATCCACTACCTCCCCCGCAGAAGAAGCTGGAAATACAATTATGTCCGCCCATTATCTTCTTTCTCCGCTAGAAACGCTGAACGAGTCGTTGAATGACTCGCATGAAGAGCGTATCGGACTTCACGACCTCACCGAGACGTATAACCTCCTTGCTACGAGGATCAAAGAAATTCTGCTTCAAAGTTCAGAACCGGATCAAGCTGCTTCTCCTCTAACGTTACTCGCAGAACGCTCCCATGTTCTGCTTAGTGCTCTCCGGCGAGATGTAAAGCGAGTCTTGATCAACCCCCGCACAACATCCCCGAAGGAGAGAAGCCAGGGGATGGACCTTGATGAAGTACACTATGCTCGCGATTTGGCTCTCCTCGGTCAACAGGCAATCCGCTTAACCTCGGAGTTGTTCGCTTTCCCACAGTTGAATGCCACTATGCATGGTATGATTCATCATTCTATGCACTGAAGCCTGAGTTCTAACGCGTTCACGTCTGTCCATCAGTGAATCAACTTCGCCTCCTACTCAGTGACGTTCTAATTATCCTTTCGGAAACATCGCTTCCGACGCCGCATTCCAAGCGGACATTTGCACTCTTGCGTTGGATTCTTCAGGTCCAGAAGCTTCCGGTCAACGTTCTCTCTCCTCATAATTCGAAAATCATCGCATGCGTGAAGCGTAGTCTAGAAGGAGAGAAAGAACATGTCAATGTCGATGGTCTGAAGGTACGTGTTTTTACCCTTGTTGATGTTCATCTTCAAACACTAATCGACACTATCTTGAGATCCTTGCTGAGCTGCTTCGCAACTATCCCAAACTCTTCTTAGGACCTGCTTGCAATCTTTTCTCCGACGCTCTCCGATTCCTCATATCTGAATCTGAAAGCCTTCGCTCTGCAGCCGCACACACCACCAGTGCTTTTGCATACGCCAAAGTACTCCAGGGCCTTCCTTATTCTCGTACACAGCAAGTCTCTTACGAGCTTTCGCGCACTATCCGCAAATTTTCGATCCGGTATCTTGAAGAGGAAGAGGATCCTTCCTTGCGTAATTTGCTGCAGTCGTCGCTGAACAACTCTCACCTTTCGCCTCATAGCGCTGGTCCACAATGGGCTGCCGTCGTTATAGCCTCTTTCATAGTTCTCATAGACACTCCTCTCTTCAAAAGTGCGACCCTGCCGCAAATAAAGAGCCTCCTCTGGCAAATTACCGATCATTCGAGTGCTACCGTTAGGCTTCTGCATATGCCAGTCTGGAAATGCTTTGTTTGGGCATTCGCACGGATCCCCGTCGATGAAGAAAATTCCAAAAAGGTCCAAACCGTCATTTCACAGGACCTCCGGAATGGCACTGGGGCACTTCTTTTACATGTGATGCTGAACCTGAAAGGAAAGGACATGATGGCGAGGATTCTAGAGGTGGTGGGATGGATGTTTGTTGACAAGCCATCGAGGCTAGATGGTGTGGTTGTACTGTGCCAATTGCTCGGCTCTGCCAGGATGCCTCGTTCTGGCACGAGTGTCATCCCCATCTTACACGAGCAACTGTTCAATGGCGAAATCTTAGGGGCCCACCTAGCTGACCTGATGAAGCACACTGTGACCATCTGCGACTCCACTGTCGTTCGCAAGATTATTCGCGAGCTCACTGTCCAAGAAACGATGGATCATTGGGATAAGCTGTACGATCTGTGGAAACATAGCTTCAAAGTAATCTTACGACGTCCTCTACCAGACATTCGGGTAGGTTGATCATCCTTAGCCCTCGCTCTGTACTTACCTTCCCGTGGTAGAAATCGGTCATCGCAGCATTTGAAACTCTTCTTCGAGCTGATTCCGAATACTGTCAAAGGCAAAGTCAGGTCTCTCCTTCATCAAAAGTTGCTCATATAGTGGGCAATCTTTGTAATGACTTTCCCCACACTACTTCGGACGTGATCATTGAAGTAGAACACATCCGGGTCCTGCGTATGCTATGGCATTCTGTCCAGCGGTTGTTCTCCCGGTCTCAGTTGTTGAAGGAGCCGGGGGATAAGCTACTCACTGCTGTGGTGAAACGCGACTATCAAATCTCTAACATGGTGATTCAGGCCGAGTGGTTGAAGTTATGTCGAGACATTGTGTGCTCCGCTTCCGGTAGTGAAGAACTGGCTGGCGGCTCTATTTTCGACTCGCGGACATGGGTAGCCGTAGCACGCCTATGGGCCGCTATCGACGATGTTTCTGCAGACAGCCTGGTCACATTCCTGAAATTCGTGTTTCCGTGCGTCTTTTTTCTGCCCTACATCCATTTTGATACTCAGCGTCCTTCGATTGCAGTGAACAACTCACCGCTGATGATGCACTTAGCCTCTGGGGGAGGCTTTTACACAAGGCACTGTTCGAGTTTAGGACCCGAGATCGCGCAAATGACTTATGGATAATCTTTGCAGCAGACGACCAGACTCTGTCAGTCCACCCGCTACCATCTTTTCCTTATATGCTCATCTTTCATATTTTAGGGCCCTCGTCTTTCCGCAGCAGTTCCATACATTGATATCGGCCTTTGTCATCCCATGGAACACAGAACAAGCGAAACCAGTGTTACCATTCCTGGACAATCTCTTATGCTCCTTGTATTCTTCCGATTGTTCTCTCGTAATATCCATTCAATATATCGACACAATCCGTGAAATGCTTCTTTCTGTACACGAAAACCAGTTCGTATCATGCTTATCTTCGTTGTGCTGTAGCCTCCGTTGCTGGATAGAAGATCAATCTACTATCGTACCGGACAAAGTGTATTTCCAAAGCGTAGGTAATTGTCTTGTTCAGAATAACTCAGGTTGACAAACTTCCAAATGCAGATATTCCCTTTGTATGAAGACATTCTTCAAAGGCTCCGTAAAGAAGAACCGAATGAAAGGACTCTCGGCCTCTTGTGGAAACTCTTTTTATCTCCCATTGAGCGACCTGTCCCCTCAAAGGAAGCTGTGAAAGCCTTTGAGGTTTTCTGGTTTGCCACGTACCATGGAAAGGATATCTTATTTGAGCCGGAACTCATTGGATACTTGAAAGGCCTGGATATGGCCTTGGGTGTCGGTCTCGCTGCGGGGTTAACTCAAAGTGACGATTCGCAACAAACAGTGAGTCGTGCCGACATTTATCTGATTTATTTTTGTAACAGTACGACTTTTATAGACTGGTTCGCTGGTACCCGAAACTCAGTCTTTGGAACCTGTTCCTCTAACGGGATCGCAGATACTTGAGAAATGGTTCGATACTTTCACTCATGCTGACAAGGCCAACGACCCTAAGATCGTTCCACCGTCATCGTCACCAATTCATGAGCCTGAGATTTCGCCGCCAGGAGGCGCTGCTGAATCAAGCAATCTCATTCCGATGCTAATTGACGACGAAATCCCCGAAAATCAGTCAAACTCAGCTTCGCCTCGCGGGTTCAAGCGAAAACGGCGTCAGGAGGATGAAGAGATTGTAGAAGAGACTCCCGCACCGATCTCCTCTGTTCGTATATCACAACGCGAAGGAGCAGTCCCTGACATTGATGAGCTCAATAACGGCAGTCCGGATCAGCGAACGAAATTAGAAGAAAAATCGAAGTTCAAAGACAAGGGTAAAGGCCGAGCTTTGTCTGCTTCCGAGAAGCAGCTGAAAACACCCACTAAGAGTGGCCAGAAGGCGAGCGAAACCCGATCGTGGATTCGAGAGAGCCAACTCATGACACCCGAACCCTCCGCACCGCCCTCCAGTCATCACGGACATGCAGCCGCTGTATCGGTCTCTCTGGACGAAGACGAAGGAGATGAGGATTACGGAAGTTGGGAGAACGCCGTAGTGTCACCTGAGACGTTCCTCCATATATCTAGAGAGCTAGATGTGGATATGGACGCCCCCGACACCAATATGGTGGAACGAGGTGAGCCAATAACAGCCACCCGCCGCCATTCGAACACTCTTCCTCATCTTTCCTCTTCTTAGATCGGTTCGGTGCAAACGATCATAATGATGATGACGATGCGATTCTCCTCAACAGTCCCTCTATTCGTGCTGCGAAACGACGCAAGCCCAGTCCTAAAACGACTGGGACTACCAACGCTTCCGATAGAGCTCGGGGCAGAGACAGAACGATCTCCGCAAAAGTCTTTCAGTTGCAACAAGCTCTCCAAGCATTCAAGGACGACACGGAGACCCCGGTGGAGGACCTAATTAAGGTCTCCGAGTTGGTACAAGAGTTCGGGTCCAAAGTAAATCACAAGCTATTGGCACGGACTCGGACGGATCGCAACAAATCTTGAAGAATTCTATACATTGCCTAACAGAGCTTCATCTGTCCACTTATGAAGAATAGATACTAGCATGCACTTATTTATTCATAATTATTTACTTACGCGCAATCTGTTGTAGTATTACTATGCTTGCAGGAATCCAAACATTCAAATCTCATATCCCTGTTTTCTCGAGGCTGTACTACGATACCTTTATCTCAAAATGCGCGTTGTTCCCACGGACCTGCAACAGCGCCCACCATGACACTGACAGGAGGTTCTACGTTGTGCTAAACGAGACATACTGACCGACCATAAGCTACGCCTTTCTTGATTCAATTCCTTCATGCTGAACTCTACTGCAACGAAGTCCGCTTCTGCTGTTCCCATTCGGCAGTCGTTTTCAATAGGCCCCTATCTCATACTACCTGACCTCATCCTCGCCGCCATCCTTGCATTGGGTCTAAAATTTCAATTTCGCGTTCTTTTTTTCGCGTTATTCTCTTATGTATGCATTTCCGGTGTCCTATGCACTACGGGGGATAGAATGCAAGACTATTCCATCGGTTCGACGCTCGGTGGACAATTCTTCACTGCGGCACATCTTCTTCTATTCGCGGAGCCCCTCGCTCATTATCGACACTGTGCAGATAAGGACGATCCTAGGAACAAGACCCTTTGGAGAAGGATGCTATGGTCTTTGTGTATTGTTCATTCACCTCGCGGAATAGGATGGAATTACCAGGTTTGTTTTCCCAACTGCTTCTTTCTGAATCGTCTCACATATTTGTGGTTTCCTAGGTCTCCAACGTACCACCGCGACCTCTCTCAACTTCCAAATGGACCTTTATACGATCTCGACTTGTTCAAATTATCAGATTCTATCTGATTATGGACTTGGCTCAAAGCTACATTCACATGAATTCTTTGTTCACTGATCCCCCTCCCAATGCGACAATCACTTCTCAAGGTTGGCTGCTACAAATTATCAGCGGAGCTGCCTGGATGACTACCCCGTATGCTGGCATGAGTATGCAGTATTTAATCTTTGCCGTATTCAGTGTAGGTCTTGGTTTCTCGAGCCCAGAGGATTGGCCAGACACGTTTGGAACATGGAAGCATGCATATACAGTACGCAACTTCTGGGGGTGTGTGATTACTCTCTGACATCTGTATATTCTCTCAATCTCTGTCCTTTCCTTTAGGAAATTTTGGCATCAAATGATTCGACGAGTAGGTGCATGTCTTACCATGTTTTTCGACAAACATTGATCATCGGATTTGTAACCTTGTCTTTTCGTTCAGTACGTGACGTCTATCGGAAAATTCGTATGTCGACAACTAGGCTTTCAACCTGGGACCTGGCTTTCTTCGTACACCCAGCTCTACATTGCGTTCTTCGTTTCTGCCATTTTGCATTGCTTCGGAGACGTCATGGTCGGCTGGGAATATCTGGGAGCGTCGTTCCCTTTCTTCATATCCCAAGCGTTTGGTATAACACTTGAAGATATTGTTATCGATGTTGTTCGACGCTTGGGCTTACGGGTCACGCCTGTATTTGCTAAATTCATCGGGTATATGTGGGTCGTGTTTTGGATGTCGTTTTCTCTTCCTTGGTACATCGATTGGGCAGTCAATGCTAAATTAGGTCAATCCGAAGTGTTGCCCGTTTCTCCTGTCCGTTATGTTTTACGAGCATTATCACTCTTGTGAATTATTCGTTAAAATGATTCCTAAATATACTTTGCAGTAAATAATGATCACGGAAAGCTCACGGAAAGCAAGAATCGCCCGTTCCCGCATGAGGCTGAGTTCGATGCAGGTGGGGAATGGCCCGAGAGATTTAAAAAATGAAAATATGGTCAACTCACCTCCAAGTTTCCTGGAGAACACACCGGTTAACAGCGGAAAAGAAGGAGACTGACAAAGATAACGCATGATGTCGACAAGCGCAATGCTACTACCAATATGCGGCAGCGAATAGACTCACCACTGAGTACTGAACTACGACGATAAGTCCAGCCAGCAGATCTAAGCCCCACTAAGGTTTGAAAATGAGTTCAAAAGTGAACTAGGTCTTGAGATTGAGCACGAGTAGATGAGATGAGTCAATCAGAGATCAACGTATCGATCCAACGTCGACGCATTTTTGACAGAGGGTACTGGTGAAAGGGGAGGTCGAAGCATCCAGTGCACTCTTGATAAAAACCGGTATGGTTCTACAATACAACCTGGAGAATTACCAAAAAGAGTCGAAAATAGCATCGGAAAAGCGGAGACTGTTAATCTTGACTCGTAAAAGAAAACATCGACCAAAGACGGCAGATTCCTAATTAAAGGACAGTAATACTGTACTAAAGTACTTCTGTGTTTTATGCCGAAGAAAGAATCGCGAAAACAAGAACTTGAAAGACAAGAGAGCAATAACTTGCCAACTTCCAATACGGCTTAGTCAGACAGATAGATTGGGGAGTGTAGGTGTTGTGGCAATCTTCAACTTGTACTTCACTTTAGACCAGCTTCACTCGCTACTCGGAATTCCCCACAACATGCAATCCCAGGCCAGTCAGCTTCGAATAAGAGAAGTATGGGCTCCAAATCTTCCAGAAGAACTAGAGCTTATTCGACAAATCATTGAAACCCATCCTTACATTGCGATGGTATGTACGCCTTGCGAGAAGATGAATTAAAAGCTTTTCTGACCCAGTTTACCAACGTATATCTAGGACACTGAATTCCCTGGCGTGGTCGCAAGACCAATTGGAAACTTCAAGACGTCTTCTGATTACCATTATCAGACTATGCGGTGTAATGTGGATCTCCTCAAGATAATACAAGTCGGTATCACGTTGACGGACGAGGAAGGAAACTATTCACCGGAAGGATCGACGTGGCAGTTCAACTTTCGCTTCAGTTTGAAGTGTGTGTGGCTATATCTTACTCTTCTGACTGAACGCTCAATAATGTACCCCATAGTGAAGATATCTACGCCCCAGAGTCAATAGAACTGCTACAAAAGTCCGGAATCGACTTTCAGCGTCACGAAGACATTGGAATCTCGCCGAATGACTTTGCGGAGCTGATGATCACCTCGGGGCTGGTACTGGCACCGGAGACCAGGTGGATATCATTTCATAGGTGTGTGGCGTTTTGCTTTTTTGCCACGCCGTTTTCTTACATCGACCGGTGGTTGGCAGCGGATACGATTTCGGATATTTCGTCAAGCTGTTGACGGCGGAATCGTTACCCACAACCGAAGATTCGTTTTTTGATCTTCTGCGGACGTGGTTCCCTACCGTCTACGATATCAAGTTCATGATGCGAGCTACCAAATTAATGAAGGGCGGGTTACAAGATATCGCGGACGACCTTGGTGTACGTCTTTACCTCTACCACATTCTCGAGTTTATCATTCTGAACGACAATATACATATATACAGGTACAACGCGTCGGGATTTCTCATCAGGCAGGCTCCGATTCACTCCTTACCTCGTCCGCGTTCTTCAAGATGCTCGAAACGTATTTCCAGGATGGATTTGACGACTCGGAATACAACGGAAAGCTCTACGGTCTGGGACAAACCTTTACGGTTATTAATGGGTCACTGGCGGATTCTGGACGACCTGGTGCGGCGACGCTTGCAGAGAGAGAGGATAGGAATCCAGTTAGGGAAATGCCTCCTCCAAATGGCCAAACGCCATCTGTCTCAATGACAATGGCAATGCCCACCATACCTTCCCAAATAGCGCCTACAGCCTATGGACCAATGGGCAATGGACCGTCTTATCTAAGGACCTCATTAGTCGGAGGACGATAAGTTTATTCTTCATAACTTTTTATGTATACAATTTACTGTAGCTTCTAGGCAATGGGTTTCTTTGTTTGGAAATCGTCAATCTCATTTTTCTTCTCTCTCACTACAATGGTTGGATGACGTCTCAATGGAAGCGATAACAATTACATGTATGATGCGACAATTCTACCTATGGTACAGGATTTACTTCTCTTCTTGAGCATTTAGTTTCGTTCTGCAGCTTTCTTCATTTCTTCAGTTGGGAATTTGGAAAACATATCCTTGAGTTTATCGATTGGCAAGGCGAGAAATCCCGCAAGGGTTTCTGCGGGAGGCTTGTTTGGGGCAGATGGGTGGGGACTAAAATATCCTTAAAATCACCTGCGACAAAGATATGTACTGATTAGCCAACGTACCGGGTAGGAGCAAATTTCTTCGTTTTGGTAAAGGTAGCTGCGGCGTGCTGACTACCTTCTTGGCCCAGTTTCGGTTCAAGTTGAGGAAGATCTTGGGTTTCTTCGCTGTCATTGTGCTGGCGAAGATGAGCCATAATCTACAAGTTCAGTAATAAGCGTCAAGATGCAGGTTGAGAACATGGACAAAAAGACCAACCTGGGTCATCAAAGTATCATAATCAGTCGTTCCAGCTGTGAGTGATTCCAGTTGATAGAGTTGTTCTTTTACTTTCTACAAATAATTTTGAGTGCATACGAAGAAAGAGAAAAAAGAAAGCTCGTTATGGAATTTTTTACCTGATGGTCTGCACGATCCTGATCTGCAAGCTTGATTCCTTCGTGACCCATGTGTTGCTCCATGAGCGGGTATACCACAATTTCTTCGCCTACAGCGTGGCGCGCAATCTCCCAGGTAAGTTGACGTGCCTAGATACAATAAAGGAGCGTCAGTTCGTCCATAATACTGTCAACGGGATTTCGGTTCGTATAGCGACCTACCCAACGAGCCTGTGCGTCTGCGTCCCCAGCAGCCTTCTTATAGTTGTCGTAGTATTCATACATCTGCAAGGTGCGATTTTAACATAGCATATATTTTAAAGGATGAAAAGTTTTCACCTCTTCATGGTCCTCCTTGATGGCATCGGTAAGAGTTCTCTGGGATGACATTGTTCTGAATACAGGAACGGTGTACGAAGTGAGAGAGGTAGAAAAGATTGGTATGGATCGTTTGACTAGGAAGCGAAAAGCTGAGGTTGTTGAGGGCGAAAGAGCAGTTAGAAGCATAATTTGTTCGCGTCTCCCTGAAATGACATAGCCTATCCTGCGACTGGCAGCCAATAGGATAACTCGAAACTGTAATTGAATGCGTCCATGACGATTCCCGTTACGTCGCTGGTAACATCATTTGTTTGGTGGGTTGGTACAATATTAACAGTACGTATCTTGGTATAAATATTAAAGATAGTCGAGCAAAGGCGCTAGTCAAAGGGTAGAGCAAGAAAATAGAGACGCTACTAAACCAATGGCCCAAATTCTGGCTGTAAGCAACGAATTTCGGAATCATCAGCGACGACGCCATTAACTGGATCGACAACGAGGTCAAATTGGGCAATCAAGCTGACTCCTAGTCGTATAGGAAACCCTTTGCAGGACTGTAACAGAAATAAATGCACAAGCTCTTGAGACGGATGTGAAGAAAACAGTCGGATGAAACAAATGCGTTTTCGGTCTCATGATCAAGGAGGATTATACTGGTGATGGACATTTTTCGAGTAAAGCTTGCAACGACCCACCCCACGGCGAAAAGATCTCAACGCCAGCAATATTTGCAATAATGCCGAGATCGGTGACATTGGATGACTTCCCGTAGGAATTATTTGCAGGACACCAGACAATTAATTTGTGCCACCAATATAAGCGAACCTAAGCGAAGATGGCCGGACAGCGGCTTCGCAAAAACTGCATCAAAACCAACTTACAACGGCCTCCCTACCCTGTTGTAAACTGGTTTTTGGTGTAAGCGAGGGTCCCATCAACAGTCCGTACGTCGCATCAAATACCGTTAATAGTTAACTGCAGGTTAACTGCAGAATAATTGCAGCGGGAAGTCACCCATTCAGATGCAAGATACGAACGTCCAAACAATGTTTCCCACAAGTTGGTCTCTTTCTGCATAACGGGATCTTCTGACCGGCAACTGCTCTGTTGTCCATGACTCCAAGTAGGGGAAAAATTGGTTTCAACGGACACTGCTCTCCCATCGTGAATATAGCGCAAGATCGAGGAAATCGAATGGCGTTATGTTGAGAGTGACAGACATGGGTAATTCCAGTGACCGTGATAGATATCCCTCGATAAAGGAAAAGAATGAACTGGGAAGTATCACCACCATTCCACAAGAAATACGCAAGGAGGACCAGAGGCAGGGCTCTGACAAAACTTGATTACGCCACCAAGAACAAACCCTACTCAGCGAAAAAAAAAAAAAAACTGTACCATACAGGAATCGGCTTGAGTTTGTTGATGGTAGACAATTCGAGGACTGGTGTCCTGGTATATGCCATGCGTTGTTCGTTGTTGAAATGGATCGACCTCCCAATTTGCCGAACGGAAGATTTCACTCATGATTTCAGGAGGTAGATTCCGAATGAGTCCCCATCATCGAACGTTGGGAATGTTTTGAGAGTAAAAAAAATTATCCGTGAACGATTGTGTAATCATCGTGGCTTGACAGATGGAGAGTGTGCGCAACGTGCGCTTATTGCGAGCGAAGTGAAGCAACCCGGAGAGGCGAACGGAGAGGGCGACCGTGCTGAGTTGAGTTCTGTGCATAAATCCCACGAGGTCACAGCCACATCACGATCCGCCTCCGTGTTGGGTATGGCCTGGGTATGGCCTATACATTCGTCCGAATTCATTCAACTACAGTCGGGGACAATCAAACCCGACAAGTCTGTAATCAGCCGATAGCGGCCGAACGAGAGTTTTTTGCAGAAAACTGATGGCAGATTCAGATTCAGAACGATGAAATACGTCTAAAAACGCACCTCCGAAGTTTTTCCCACGACGTTTTAGGTACGGCCAATTTTTTGGCAGTTTTCAACGCATCTTTAGACCCCTTTTGACAAGGATTTCCACTGATTTTCAAAAACTTCTGAGGTAAAAGTTGACCCTAAGCTACTTCATTTCATATCTGAGCACTATGGAGGTCACTGAAAGGTATAATAAGGGAACAATTGATTAGAATTTCTGTTAAATTCTACCCACTTCATTTCCCTCTGTATGTCCGAGCTGCTGCAAGCATCACATGACAGAGCATGTGAAGCTTTCCCACCCTTTTGGCAGATGGGAAACTTCATCAAAGCTGTTGTGGCACATGAGGGTGAGTTTTCTCGATGAAACTGATGATGGATTTGTACTCAGGAAGGCCAAATACGTCCAAAAACACACCTCCGAAGTTTTTCCCACGAGATTTTAGGGTACGGCCAATTTTTCGAGGTCTGCAACCCAAACTTGCCTTTTTCGGAGATCGGCTCGTTGAAACCTCTTCCTTTTTGTGCCAGAATACTTGAAAAGTAGAATAGAATGATTTCTACTATAATCTGAGCCTGGGAAAACTCGCTCATTTTTTTTGTCGACTTTGATTGTCCCCGACTGTACATATCAACACTACAAAAAATTATGTGTTTGTCCCTGCTTGGTCCAATCATTCCGATTGGCTAGACAAATTTTGTCTTACATAAATGCACGTGCTATCTATATCTAATAAGTTACAAACGAACACTGCACGGGCGAAGGTAGCGAGTGGGCGGAGCAACGCGACGCCCTGAGCGGAACTGAGCTTCTCATCGTGCATCGCACGGGTCACTGCTAGTACCTCTACATTATAACAGGCGGGGACAAAATTCCTGGTCGTTCGTACCCTGGACTTCGTTTCCTGATTAAATCTAGAATGTACTACTAGAGTGTTTATATTGTTATTTATTGAGAGGGTATGTCACCACTATGTACTATTTTCTGTTGAGACGTATACTATGTAGAATTCGAATATGAGTTCAGGTTGCCCCTCTTTTCCCAATCGCCATTCTCTATCCGCAGCGCAACCTCCAGATACAAGGAGCCAAGAGCGACAAACACCAAATTGATGCTCTCATGTTATCATATATCGGAATTCAGCAATACCAAGCGATAACCGTTCAAGGCTGGTTCAAGGCCTACGGAAATTGCTTGAAGGCACGAGGGGTTCAAACTTAACCTGAGGATCATCCGAGTCCTAATCCAAGACAGCCGCGAATTCCATCGTTCCAAGGTTTCGAGAGGGCCTTCGCAGTCATCTATCGCAAGAGTACAATTGCCATTCAAGAGAAAGTGTCTCATGCATGCTACAAGCTTGTTCTCTTGGCGATACAGACTACGAAAAGGCCCTGTCTGACCTCGAACTCTGGTTCAACTGCAGTGAGTCGATGGACATGATTGTACCAGAGGAAAGATGGCGGAGGAAACTTAAGACATATGTCAGGGGGAGTATGTTTTTCCCAGAGGGGTCTGGGTTCGCTCTGTCCAGATCCTCGACTCTTTTATAACTCATGCAGCCGAGCCAGTTTTCACCATGCATATGTGGCACAAGCATGCTTGTGTACGATGTCTCTGAGTCTCAGCAAATGTCATTGTAATCGATTGTATTGGCGAAGCTTCTTAACAGTTCTTGACCTGCACCGTGCGCATGCACTCCTAGAAATTGAACGAAGATCTAACGCGCTTCTGTGGCATTCCATCAAGCATTTCGTGGGCGGAGCTCAGGGCTCCTTGACGTATGTTTTACTTATGCGCAGGCGCTGGAAGCCCCGTAAGTAATAGTTTGTGTTTTACGCAGAGTTAATTATCTTCCGCTGCTGCGCCATGTAATCTAAGGGTATCCCTTCGGGTCCTTTTGAGAGTCACCAATAATGATATAAGATCTCGCCAGAAGCTTGCTGATTTCTACAGTCAAGGAAGAATCAATCTGACTCCATATATGTAGCAGATTAACTGGAGAATGGAGCGTTTCGAGTCACACGCCCGAAAAACATTCAGGAGTTTTCATCTGTCGATTGAAATTCTTGACACCCTCCAGGGCTCTCTAGCAGGGTCTTTTTTGGCCACCGCAGTCATCGCACAAACTGAAAAGAACCTCCTCATGTTCTTAGATATATCGATATCATCATGTATACCGTCTTATATCTTGCAACATGGTCTTCCTCGTTTCTCGAGCTCGCTTCTCATTTTGATACACGTCCAAAAGTTGCGCAAGGTACAGTTCCCTTCCGTTCCCCGATTTCATCTGGGTTTGATGAATGCATGTCCCAGTTTCATTTTAACACCTCGCACAGACGTAGTGCGCTCTCACCTGCACTTCACAAAGATGAGTGTTAAAGGAAGCTTCTCAAAAAAAAGACCAGTACGAAGCTTCTATCGAGCTACAAAAGCGCTGAACGCCGTACAAGTTTAGAATCTAGATATAGATCAAGTACTGTAAATAATCACAAAAAACTTGACAGAATTGATTACAGTCGGGGTAGCTCTCGATGATATGGTACATGGCATCCATGCGGCCCCAACGGCGTGTCGGTACTTACTTTATACCAACTCAACCTGTAGAAAAGAAACTTAACCGGAAAACGGAGGATCGGAATGAGGCGACATACATAATTACTAGGGAATATACCCTTTTGTCCCAACGAATCGATACCTGGATCCAATGCTGAGTGAGCGAGCCAGCGCGCGCGGAAAGCATGCATTTGCGGGGAACTCGCCTTCCCACCAGCCCTCTCCGTAATACTGACCACCTGATGGACCGCTTGATAACTCAATCAACTCTCCGTCCTTCAAACCAAGCTCGTCGGAGCCCCGCGCTTCATATGCATAGATAGCCTTGACTAGTACATAAATGTAAATGACGGAAAGAATCCCTTGTGTAGATCCCTAGCAAGTGAAGAAAATAAATGAAACCCACCATATTGGCCAGATCCTTGTTCATTCGAACTTGACGCTGGGCCAGTTCCATGTTGAAGATACGAAGCGGGGACAAGCCCATCGCCACTGCCATCCTTGACTTTGACCCATCCAGAACCGTCATCGTGTTCAATGACAGTGACAGTAGATCCCTCTGATGAACACTTAAATTCCGAGTTATGAAATTGTGCCACAAAAGGCTCACCTGAGACAGATAATTCAAATTCGGAGGTAGCAGTAAAATCGAACAAGACCTTTGCCGTCGAATAATGCTCTTCCTCTTTAGACACGGCGTGCACAAAAGACGACGCAGTTGGGGTGACTAGTTGTGTTGGAACTAGTAAAATTAGTATTGGTGTACAGTATGTCATGAGTAACTGTAATTAAAGGAAGCATGATGGAGCTTACTACTAGTACCGGTGACGCTCATTCGACTGGCACTGCTAGTTGACGTTGACAGTCGAGAAGCATGGCGACTGACCCCTCCCCCTCGCTGACAATCGGCTGGAACCTGTGGAGCGAAAACATCACTGCAGTCTTATCTACGACAGTCTAATGCCAGTCCGCTACTCACCTTGAGCTCGCATTTGGCGTGAACAGAAAGATTGCAAACTTTGCATGTCTTTCCTTGTTTGCTGAGCCCCCAGATCGACGTCTAACAAACAATTTCTTATAAGCACCGGAACGTCACAAGCCTGACATTAACGACATGTTACTTTGCAGTATCCGCACGTAGTTGGAATTGAGAAGGAAGAGCTTTTGAAATTATGGGGTTGTTGGGCACCCACATCGTCTGTTAGAAGGTCAATTCAATCCAAAGATGTGGAACATGACAAAGAGGATGGCCCACCTCCAATGGCTTTAACGATAGCATCTATCTCGGCATTGAGTATGCATTCAGATGTTCTGAAAAACGTCATGTTGTGATCGGTCTCTAAATATTTCTGGAGCAAACATATTAGCAAAGGGTACGTGTTATTTCATTCCAGGGGACACACATCGGATATATCCTCGATATTCCCCAGGGAATGATCTCCATCATAGGCTACGGCAAGCTTCTCCAGCTGTTCATATTCACGCTCTAATGCTACATGTAGGATGAAGATAATAAGAGAGGATTCTGACACCCACGTTTGGTTTCTATCACTGGCATCAATTCTTGCAACTTGCCACGGCTTCGTCTAAGTCGGTTCTGCAAGACAGTCTTGGCATCCGGCTCGACACTCATCTCCTCCTGTGTGCATTACGTATCTATTAAAGATATCATCCATGCGATAAAAAGCGACTGACGTTGTCGTAGAAGGTCGCGCAAGGCTCGAACTTCCAGTCGCTGGGAGCGCTAAAAGGCCTAATATTGTATTCGATGTACAGATCTTGGTCTTTGGAAGGGTTGACCTCATTAAGCCTCGCCTCATTTTCAGCCAACCGATTCTTCAAAACGTCGAGGTGACTGATCTGCAAGGCTTGCGCATGAAGCAAAATCTTCGCAAATTTGTTAACAAGACGCGTTTGAACAGCCTCTTAGGAAGGATGTCGTTGAAAAGCTTGTCGAAAGATGGCAACATATGTACGCACGAAGTTGCTGGAAGAGGGATCACGATTAAAAAGATGGATCGTGTAACAAACTATAGACGTACATTCTCTAGATGGACCAGATCTGTGTCGAAGAATTTGCTCTTGGTCTTGTTCGCTATAGCGGTGGCGATGATGTACGCACTAATGAAGTATTAGAAACACGCAAAAAAGATGCTCGAAAGCAAAAGGGGATGGAAGACTTTTTGCTGTTCAGCATATCGACTCGTTGTTGTTCAGATTGGCGCGCAACCCGTTCCGCATGCTTGTCATCGTTGGCACGACTCTGCGAGAGGCTTCAGTCCGACGTCTACGTTTGTGTAAATTTCTCAAACGAAGACTGACCTGCCTCTGTCGATTGCCCTCGACTTCCCCACATTCTTCGTCGTACTATCAACAACCATTAGAAAACGTCGATATTGAACTTGATTGCATACTTTCTGTTTCGTCTATAAATGTCATCAGAATTTGGGGGCTAACCGAATGCAAGCGGACACTGAATATTGAATAACGAGTACTGTACCTTGAGACGCTCAGAGTAGCTACGATCTCTGTCTGAAATTAGTTTTTGATAAAATTGGCCTTCCTGTGGATGGTTTTAGTTGAAAGTACGGATAATGATTGAAGAAGGACCGTGCCGTCTTCTGAATGTTCTCGTTTTTGCGTTCTACGGTTTTGAGTGCCTCAACCACTTGAGTCGTAAGGGTGTCTGCGATATTATTATGATCTTGGGCTGCATTGGCCATTGAATTTATGATCGAATCGAACGCGAAGTTTAGTGTACTAATCACGATTCGACTATTAATGATCAATAACAGATAGAAAGGGCGAAATCACGCACCTCTGCTTCAATGTTGATTCACCCCAAGCCGTTGTAGGGTCATCCCCTAGCACAAGTACAGATTCCATCTTGACCTTCTTTTCCGCGGATTTCTTGGCCAAGGCTTGTAACTTCGTGGCGAAGTCTCGTTCAAGAGCCACCCGATCCTTGTATAATTCTCGAACCTGTCAGTTTTTCTAGAATCTAGACCTTGCAGGATTTCGATGAGTGGATATCCTTACATCGGCTACCAGTTGGATATGAGCGTCAAGGTTTGCGGAAATTCGGTCAACTTGATCCTAGATACGTTGAAGAACAGATAGATAGGTTTAGGTGCTTGCATGAAAGAAAAGAAAGCTAAGTTTACAGGAAGACAGTCACCATAAAGCTGTCTGCTAGAGGCCATATGGTTGGTCCAGGCGTCGAAAGGAAGGGGAGAGCGCTTATGATAATATCATTTCCGAATATGGTACGAAGCGCTTAAATTTGCGCTTGTTTAACTGCAACGGTAATGCCAGAGCTTACCCGTATGTCCACCCTCCAACCCTTCGCGTAATCTTCATCTTAAGACTTATAGGAGCATCAGGAAAGAGGGCCCCGGAGGGAGAATGAGAATGAGTATATGATGCAAATCTTCCCTGGGAAATTTCGGGCAATTGCTGAAATTGATACCTAGTAGGTGTGATACTGCTGTCATAAATTTCAAGGGGGTTTACTTGAAATGATTTGGTGGAGATCGTAAGTGAGAACTCTGTCCCTCCTTTAGTCTAACCCACATTCACGAGTGATCCATGTATCGTTTAGCCTCGAAGATCGTTCGTGGCTCTCCCGACAACCGCGATGAAGGCAGCCTAGAACGAATAATGGTTCAAAACCGTCAAGGTGAGTTCAATCCGGCAAAAAAGGATCTCCTTACATCTTACAAGCATCTTGAGGTAGGCCTAACTGTTCTTCAATAGGATTGTCACGCTGGTTTAACTACCCACTGTATTCGCATTATCAACGAACTTTTCCAGCCTCGGGAAGATTGAAGCTCCTGCTAGTTGCCTGCCTGTAGTTTGGATCCGGACTACGCAGGATACCGAAGTAGAAGGTTTTTTTTGATTGTGCGGTTTCCCAAAACTTTCGGTGGAGGGCAAAATGAATGGGAGGTCGTTTGTATTGCTTGAGAGAAAGAGTACAAGGAGAGGATAATCGGCGTCATTTATATTCAAGGCAGTATTTGAATTTTTGACTTTTGAATCTCTTTCAGCCGCTTAATTGCAATCATGTCCCCCTGGTACTTCCCTTCGCCTCAAATCCCTCGACCATTTTCCGCGGTCCAAACTATAATGAACTTCCCGTGCACATGATGAAAAATCCAACTTCTCTGCCCGGACTTACGTTCTACCACTGTTGGAGTTTAGCGGAACGTATGACCGATTCTCCTTTCCATGACTCCTTGTGAAGAAGGGAGATCAGATTATATCCTTCCCAATTTCGGTATCTTCCTCAGTATTTCATTTTAAGTTCATCCTATTGAAGGATAAAGAGCTCTAGACGAAATTTAGGCTAGCTTCAGGTAATATCTAATGCGGACTCTGAGGCTACTACTTCTGGGTCGACACGCGATAATCATTAGTATGCGATAACGTACTGTCTCTTGGATCTGCTCAAATATAAGAAGGTCCCTCGAAATCAACAATGTATCCTTGTGGAAAATTCCTCAAACACATTCCTTCTCCCTTCCTTCCTCGTTTCTCTTCCATTACGCATTCATCACACTCTCTCATCATTGCCATCGACAATCATGATGTCTTTCGTTACCATCCTGTCATTTCTCTTCGCAACGATCCTCATGGTGGTCTCTGCACCTGTGGAGACACCAGCAGAGCTGGACAAACGAACAACTCATACTGGAAGGGCAAGTGTAACAGTCTATCTATACTCTGACGCAACTTTGACTCTTGACGCAATTTATCGAAACAGGGTACCTGGTTTGAACCCGGTTTGGGCAATTGTGGCAAATTCAATACTGCCAACGATCCTATCATCGCTATTCCGGAGACTCTCTATGACGAGAATCATGGAAGTAATTGCGGCCAGGTCAGTATCATTCAATCTAGTTATCGGATGTGCATACTCACTTTTCCCTGAATACAGTGGATTGTTCGCACTTTCGCGTCTTTCAATGGTATCGTTTGTACTGACGCGTTTCTTGAAGCACATCGTCGATGAGAGCACTGGCAAGGTCGTCTATGGCCGTACAGAAGATAGTTGCCCAAGCTGCGGCGGCGGCGATCTAGGTATAACTTCATCGTATCTCTTCACTATTCCCTATTTTTATTAACACATCTGGTTAGATATGTCGCCCGCCGTGTTCCAACAATTTGCTTTTCTCGATGTCGGCATCTTGTCCATTTCTTGGTACTTCATGCCCCAAGGGTGGTCGCCTTAAGACGTTTGTCCTCGTTTGTCCTGTCCCCTTCGATCCAACAACCATAGAGGTCACAGAAATAACTCACAAGTTGATGTATTTTTATGAATTATTGTTCATATACCTGTTTTACAGTGCATGCACTGTCACAAATCCTTCAAGTTGCTAGTTGCTTCTTTCTTTCCTTGCTCTGCGAGCGCATGCTTCTGATATGATGTTTTGTATCGGATACATACCCATTTCATTTCCGATTGATTTCTGTATGTAGTAGGTTCGACATTTATTACATCCATATGTACTTCCATTGGGCTACGGAGCGCGTCGTAGAATGTGATTTTATATGTCACATTGGTCGTTCAGGATGATACTGTTCGGGTCCAGCAGTCCAGCAGTCAAGATATCGAATATTTTGTTTGATGACTTATACGTATCAGGTAATCGGATAGTCTGTAAAATGCGTAGCTTTACACAAGATATATGTAGCAGTTCAAAACGTTATGATACAGATCGTGAATGCTAAAGTGTTCATGCACGGAGTAGATGAGGTCGGTAAATCATAGTCGTGAGTATGAGAATCATGAGGACGATAAGGGGACGTCCTCATGATCGTAAATGTACACATGATGTCCAAAACAGCAATCACATATCACCCATCAAAGAAGACATGCGGCCAGTAGGCCAGCGACAACGAATGCGTAGACCTGGCTCTGAGATACACCTGGTTGCCACGCGCTGTTGCTAGATGCTGCTGCCTCAGTGGCAGACGGAGAAGCTGACGACCCAGATGTAGAGGAGATGGAGAGGCTTGAAGCACTGCCGATCTCCGCAGTCGTGGAAGAGGCAGGACCGGAAGAGACAGTGATAACGCTAGTTACAGTGTTTGTCGCTGACGATTCCGGAGCGAAAGTACTTGCGCTACTCGAAGCCTCTGCCTCGGTTACGACAGTAGTTTGTAGAGTAGAAGGCGAAGATGATGTAGGCACTGAGATAGAACTGGAGGTCGATAAGAGAGTAGAAACAAAGGTCGAGGTAGTAGGCGCAGATGAGGTAGACTCTGTTCCTTGAATTGTGAATGTAGGGCTTATGTTTCCAGAGTCACCGAACACTTGACCCAATCGTTAACATCTTGGAAATCAACAATAGCGCGGATACTCACGAGCAATGATGTAGTCTGACCGCGTAACTACAGAAGGCACAATGAAGCTGACATTTCCATCACTCAAGGGGAAGTCTTGAGCCAAAGGAGAGTCTGTACGAACAAATCAATGATGACATATGGGATCACAAACATCGGACGTACCAATCATGAGATGTTCCGAGTCTGTAGAGCTGGCCATGTAGCCAAGTACAACAGTTCCGTTCGGGTCTGTCAGTTGCGAGGCAGGAGGAAGATTGGTTATATCCCTGTGAATACAAAGATTGCAAGTGAATAACATAGTAGGGATATAGAGAGCAGATTTGAACATACCATATCACTGTAACGGTCTGACCAACTTGCCAAATTGTAGAGGCACTTGGGCTGGTGATTGGGGGGTCAAAAACGTCGCGCGATAAGAGAGTAGGGAGTGCTCGAACAACAGAGAAAAAAAGGCATGAAATTATGAAGGTCAACATGGCAGAAGCGTCTCTTGAACTAGTGTAAGAAGAAGAAGACGGGAGGGTACCGACAGTGAGGGTCAAGGACAACCGCGTCGGAGAACCAGCTGAACATCTGGCTTTTATGTTCCGGCAAGTTGTGGGAAAAAACGAGCAAACGTTGATGTCAAACATTTCTTGATTGAATTACATAAGGATGTTTAAGGACAATCGGTGGCACTGCAAGTTCTAGGCCCAGGTGAGTCTACATGTTACTTATGTCACACCTGAAGGGAACGCTTTTCGCGGCCGAGAAATATATAGGGAAATGAGAAGAGCAATTGCCGATTTCCCCTCAGTGAATAAGAATTTTTCCCATACTATGGTTCACAGGGTACTTCCGATTTCTTGAATATTGCGAATAACGTCTTAAATTTTTGAGTAAATAAAAATCTGAGTAGACAGTCTTATTTAGAATCATGTTAAGCTTGTCTTTTGTCTTACATGTTAAAGCAGATAAGGCATAAACAGAGCGTCGGACCATGACCGAGGAAAAACAGGGTACTTCCGCATCGTGGGTCACACTGAGTCACATCAATGCCGCTGCTCGGCACTCTGGCACACTTGGCCATTTGATGCAGGGTTGAGGCAGAACTTGTGTTGATCACACTTTTGGAGAGTGTCAGAGGTTTGCCGAGGCTACGGCATGAAGCTGGAATCAAATATTGTCACGTCGCATACCCTCTTCACTTTATCTGCTTGTCGAATCTCTACAACATATTGGATTGCTTTTAAATTTGCTATGCTAGCTGATGAGAGCCTCTACTTAATGCCCATGTCATTTTTATAGTTATCTACCAGCTCTTTGTACGGTTCCTGAGGCTTCAATCTAAAGTCACGCTTGTATATTACAGTATTTTGGTCTTGTACATATGTATCCCCTGAATACAATCTATTTCATATAGTACAGTATGTTTATAGAGAACCTAGAAAGTACTACATAAAAAGTCTGAGAGCATTTATCGACCTAAAATGTTCAAAATATGAGATTTTCGAAAATGCGGAAGTACCCTGTTTACGGAAGTACCCTGTGAACCATAGTAAGGAAATAATTAGGTTTTACGGACGGGAAATGAGTGAAATATTAATATTTCCCAATTTAGAAATATAGTATTTTTCATCAGATGAAGATTACTTTTCGCCTTTGATGAAGATTATCTTTTGCATTAGATAAAGATTACCTATTATGAAAGATAAAGATAATCTTTCGCGCTAGATAATTTTTTAGATTGCGCGCTAGGGAAATGGAAAATTTCCTGGTGCGCGAAACCAAATAGCTTAGCACCTCTTGGCGCCCACCCAGACATATGAGTGGCACTCACTCTAGTTGACACAGCTTGACACCCATTGGCACTACCTACAGCTTGCAGGGCTAATGAATCAATAGGTTGGTTTTTGCTGAGTTTTGGGAGAGGTGGCATGCTTAGCCACTCATGTCTTTAGGTGGGCGCTAAGCTATTTGGTTTCGCGAACTGGGAAATTTTCCATTTCCCTAGCACTGACACGCCTAAATTTTGGCTAGACGTCTATGCTGTGAATTGTGACATTTTCATGTATAGATCCGTATCGAGAGGACTGTAATTGAGACCCAGATTGGCAGTCAAAGTCAATACTGAATCAGTCTAATAAGTTGAAGGGACCATATACCCATACTACCACAAGCTGGTTAGTTTACCCATCCCCGATACTACCTTCGGATAGCAGTCTACCTGTTTGTCAAGCAGGATTATACCAGACTTGGACTACATCCGAAGGATGACCATTCACGTATGACATACCAAGGGTATTCTTATTGGACCTTACACTGGCAGGAGTTTGGAAGAACTTACTCAAGTGACCATGAGCCGAGGATTGACTCAAAATGACTTTCTAGAACTCAGGGATTATCAAATACTCCTTCTAGAACGAGATCATGCATTAATCTAAAAGACTGCGATTTAGTCTAATAGACCAATCAAGTTGCATGGTTGAGGAAAATGACTAGAAGAACGATCGAAGTACTGCGAGGCTCCGAAGATATATCAAATGAATGTCAAAGAGTCCTGACGTAGAAAATATTGAAGAATGCAATTAAATGAATACTATGCGTAACTCCCTTGATAGAGTATAGGCACAATGGGTGTCTATTGAAAGAGAGAAGCAATTAGTTTAATCCAGATGAATCAGATTAATAGGATTAGAATCGAGGAGAGCTGATTTGCCTCCGGACGAGGTGACAAACGATCAAAGTAAGTGTTGAACAGCAGTGACAGCTGAACACCATTCGAGTCATTCTCCAAAACAATTAAATTAAAATTAAATGAACATTGAAGTACCTACCTATGTTTGGAGGTATACTAGAATCTTGGAACCATTATGGACCAAATAAGGACATGTAGAATCAAATTAAATGATATCTTACCAATTGTAGAAGTTTCCTTGCAGTTCCGAACGTTTATTGTATTAAATTAATTGTACTGTGCGACTCTATATTCTGTATGTATAAATAGCGATCTGATGTATCTGGAATACAAGTGATTTTGGGACGACGTTGCAGTGCTAATCCGTAAAAAGGAAAGACACACTCCCGCCAGACTGAAACCTCTTCGCTAGCAGCCATTCGGGCCCGGCACTTGTGAGTATAGGAACGTCATGTTCTGCTCCTTGTGACTGCGAGAAGTATATCCACTTGTTGGTCTTAAGGGCAAATCACGCTGTGTGGTTGTGCCAGCACATAGTTCTAGCCCTCCGTAGGGGTCTGTGTGTTTCGGTTTTAATTTACTTTGATTCAAACCCCCAATTCTTGATATACCCATATCAATACAATCAAAGCACAAATCGTGCTGAATCTACCTTGATCAAAGGAATATATCAAATCCTTAGAACAATTCAAATTGATTGATCGAAGCTTCTTACTTAGCTCTCAAAGCTTTGCGGAACCTTTGCCAATGCTACCCCTTGCTATTAAATAAATTTGATAGCAGTGAACTCGCATATTGTGTATTAGATTGGTTGGTTGGAGTGCTCATTAGATTCCTTCCTTTCTCTTTCACACAAAAACGAGGCAAGCTCGTTAGCGCGCAATCTAAAAATTATCTAGCGCAAAAGATTATCTTTATCTAATGCAAAAGATAATCTTCATCAAAGGCGAAAGGTAATCTTTATCTGATGAAAAATACTATATTTCTAAATTGGGAAATACAGTTAATATTTCACTCATTTCCCATCCGTAAAACCTAATTATTTCCTTATGGGAAAAGTTTTTATTCACTGAGGGGAAATCAGCAATTGCTCTTCTCATTTCCCTATATATTTCTCGGCCGCGAAAAGTGTTCCCGTCAGGTGTGTGTACAACATACAGAGCCCAAGATAGGCCTAAAGCAGACCCCTCTAGGAGGCTGCCGCATTCTCTCTAGAGTCCAAGAAAATAAGGTATTGTGGTTGTCCTGACTTGTGTACTAAGAAATTAAAATAGGAGTTACAAACAATTTGCTTCGTTGCCTTCATCAGCAAGTTCCTCTATGTATAATCTGTATGATGGGTATAATGGTATGTTGGTGATGCCATATCATACATCAATCATACTCACTTGATCCGGAAACTATTATACCGAGTAGTATTTTCATCATACCCTCAATCATACAGCTGGCATACACTTATCATACACTTAAATCACGAAGTCATACATTATCTCTTCCACTTCATTTGGCTCTGATAGTTGTATAATCATGAAACTCCAAGTACAAATTATTTCCTTACCATATTGAGGAGTGAACAGACAGATGGAAGGCAATAAGAGGTGATAAGTCTGGTCCAACTGTATGAAGTGAACTCGACAAGAAAAAATCAAAGCCAATATCACATGATGAGGCTTGGGAAGTGCTGTATAGTTGAACATCATCCATACCTCGTCTCTTCCTTTTTGGCCCGTTCTTTGTTCAACGCACTTCCTTTCTGCAGGCTTATTCACTTCGGGACTAAAAAGAGCTCATCCATTATCAATTTGCTGTTTTCAACATCTGGGTCTGACCGGTTCATGTGTGGTAATATTTCTGTGTGAGTGGCATGCTATTTCTGGTTTTCCATGTACTCATTATCAGTGCTTTACAGACGACCCACCCTCCTTTCCTTCATGACATTTGGTTATCTTTTCCTTACATAGTGTCTCAGCCCAGTTCTCCCTCTGCCTTGACTTCCTCACACCCTTAATCTAGTGCTGCAGGTTCTTTGCTTGAGTAATAGCACTATTATTGCTTGTACATGTTCTGTAATATCTCTATAATAACAATAATATGAATTTTCTCATCAATAAAATGTCGTATAAGTGGTAATCGGATGTGTCTGGCATGTATAATTGGTGTATGAAACAGGTATGAGAGTGGTATGAGGTCTTGTATAATATTGTATAATTCATATGACAACATACGAGAAACTGGATATACATTCATATAATGTGGTATGTTTGAAGTATGTTCATCACGTACCCCCTTTTTCTATCATACAGGTCCGTCAGTGTATGATAGTGTATAATATTATACATATTATACAATCAGGAACTTGCTGATAAGTTTGTTGGTGTTCCAGGCCTTCAAAAGTGGATCTTGCACTCACTCCGGGTGACACGACACTGGTTTGTGTCATAAAAAGTAATTAGGAAGTATGGAAGCTAATAGAGGCAGGGAAGTAATGGGAGAGGGGGAACAACATACTTACTTACTATCAATTCATGGATGCTGTCGAAGAGTAAGGTCCTTCGATGATCATTGAAACGAGAGCAATGTCCTCAACATTGGATCCAAAGCCGCACACAAGTCTCAAAAACCAGAACAAGCAGAATGAAAATTTGGGAAGGTTGCTGGCAAAAATCCACATAGCATGCTTGGGTATTGGAGGACATTATTGCCAGTACTCTCGAGCTGCTTTCGTCCTAACATCAGCAGCTTTTCTGGTGGCCCATTGATTGTTTTCAGGTCTCCTTGGGAATGTCAAGTCTGTTACGA